CGCATCCCTGTGGCTGTGCTCTCCTCCGCGGCTCCGAAGCTTCCCCCCTACTCCACCCGCAGTCTCCGCCCGCGAAGGGGCTCCTAGTGTGTGGAAACCTTTCCTCCGACACGGCTCCCTCCCACTGGTGCAGGTCCCGTCCCTATTCTTTTGTCTCTGTTTATTCTTTTTTCTTTTGCCCTACCCAGGTACGTGGGGAGTTTCTTGCCTTTTGGGAGGTCTCAGGTCTTCTGCCAGAGTCCAGTAGGTGTTCTGTAGGAGTTGTTCCACGTGTAGATGTATTTCTGATGTATCTGTGGGGAGGAAGATGATCTCCGCGTCTTACTCTTCCACCATCTTCCCCTTGAGCCACTCATAGCAGCTTTCATTCCTTTTCAAGACAGGTTTCTCTAGTTCAGGATCGCAATGATAATAGAACCTATTACCCAGCAAGTGAAAAAAAGGCCTCGGAGTCATCACTACCATCAGAACCACCTTGAAAACCTGCACTTCCTCTAGCCTTTCCCATCTCAGAAAGTAATGACCCATCTCTTGCAGTTGCTCAGATGAAAACTTTGGTGTCTGAGCTGTGAGGGAGGAGTGAGTCCCCTTTATTGCATCTGTAAGGGTCGCTCCAGCACGGCAATGGGAATTACACTTGGAGAGGCATTGGAAGTGAAAGGATCTGTCATGCTCACAGGTCCTAGAGACGGAGGCCCGGCACACCACACAGGGGGCCAAATGGGAAGAGGGTCCAAGGAGCGGGCTCACCGAAGCAGGCGGGGAGCCGAGAGAGAGTGAGGACCCGTGGGCAGGGGTCTTTATTTGGGGTCAGGGTGGAGAGGACAAGGAGAAGGTGCGAGGTATTTCACTGTTGGGTTTGAATGTCACAGGGTCACTGTAAGGGGAGGGCAAGAAGGGGAACTTGTGGCAGGGACCAGCCTTGTCACCCGAGTAGACCTGGTCATCGGGGCGGGATGCTTCAGCCTGTTTGTGGGGATGTTGAGGTGTCAGGAAAATATGAGGTTTTTACAATTTACAGTACAGTGTTATCTTGATCTTTCTTTGTCTCATATGCCACATCGGATCCATTAGCATATCTTCTCGGCGCTACCTTACGTTGTATCCAGAATCCAACTTCTCAACACCTTCACCACAGCTATCAGAACCACCATCCTGGTCTAGGCCACCATTACCCCTCACCTAGATTATTGCAGAAGCCTCCGTATCTGAATTTCCTGCTTCCGCCTTTGATCCCCTGTGTTTTATTTTCCATACAGTGGCCAGAGTGATCCTTTTAAAATTAGTCAAATTATGTCAGTTTTCTGTTCATATTCCTCCACTGACTTCTCTTCTTGCTCAGAGTGAAATCCCAGGCTTTACTGTGGTCTTTGACCTTATCTACATCTACTTTCCGGCCCTGGCCACCTCACTGTGCTTCAGTACCCTAAATGTGCTCCTGCCTCAGGGCCTTTGCACTTGCTGTTCCCCCTGCCTGTACCATTCCTCCACTGCATGTCCTCATGGCTCACTTCCTCACTTTCTTCAGGTCTCTGTTTAGATATCATAGTGCTATTCCAACTCTGTCTTCCCTTACTTGACTTTATTTTTCTTTATAATACATATCACCAGCTAGCATGTTTATTATATTTAGTTGTATATTTATAAATTGTCTTTCCTCACTGGACTGTGTTTTATGATCATAGGGGCTTCAGCTTTTTTCATTGATGTATTTCCAGCACCTTGAACCTAACTTGGCACAGAGTAGGACACTCAAAAGCTATTGAGGGAATGACTCAGAGCTAAATATAATGAGTAGAATTAACATTCAGGCATTCACCAGTAATTTATTTGTTATCATAGCATTCTTACTTTAAATTGAGTAAGCTTGTTGATTTGTTTTATAAAAATGATGGGATACCTATATAAAAGTAGATATTAGCCGGAAACTTCTTCCTGGGGCAGAGTAATTTTGTGGCTCTAGTAAAACTATTGAAGATAGCTTAAAAAAACAAATTTGGTAAATATCTGCAATAATTTAACACATTTATTCATTTCTGTTTATACTTTTATTCTAAATGCTAGTTGTTTATAAAAGGTATTCTGCCTTAATTGGCCGTTCGTAAAAGAAACCGTTTTCATTTCTGTGGTTATGGCTTACTTTCAGGTCTTGCATTTCACTGAAGGAGCCAGACTCCACATATATTTCAAGGATGCTATTTAATTAAAAGCCTTTGTAGTGAAGCTGTAAGTTGTCAATTTCACAAGTATTTATTAAGTATCCTCTGTATACAGGTAGTATACTATGTATAGTAGAATACATAGACAAATACCATATAGCCTGAGTCTTTATGGAGGCTTGGAGTTTAGTAGAAGGAAATAGATGTAATAGTGTAATAAAATGTTATATGTGCTGTGAATTAAATAGATACAAAATAGCTTGGAGTGTTTGGGAAATTCCATACAGTTCTGTGTATCTGGAGTGCAGAGATTATGGGGTAGGGAGTATATGTGTTTGTGGGTGAGTGTGAGAGAGAGCACTTAGGGAAGGAAAGAGAAGCAGAGAGAGATTATCATATAAAAAGGAAAGAAGGGAGGGCTTATAACTGTTACAACTGTTAGAGGTAGGCAGTGACCAGATTGTTCAGAACAACGTGTTGAGAGTTCAGGGAGCCAGTGAGACCTTTTTAGCTCAGCCCCTTAGCAGTCCTTGTCTAAAGTGGTGACCTTTTAAGGAAATAAGGTAATTGAATGTAGAACGAGGAAGAGGACTCTAGGATGGTTGCTAGCTTTCTAACTTGGAGAATAATGAAATCATTAATCAAGACAAAATGTATTGATACTAGATGAGAAGAGCAGGTTTCTTGGGGAAGGAGCTTAGTTGTGATTTGTTGAGTTTGAGGTATCTGCATGTACCTGTGCTGGTAAATGTTTATTCACTGGCTCTCTGAAGAAAAGCATGCTTATACGTATGTATATGTTTATTATAAATTTTATTGATATGAAGAGTGGAGCACATAATTGACAGATAATAGGTATATAATGCTCTCTATTATAACTTCCATATTGATTCTCAGAATGCGTCATTGTTTGCCAGACTTCTGTGTCTATAACCAACCTGTGGCTGCGGTTGACAAGAGTGTAGTTCTGACATGAATATTTCCTTTAAAGATTAAGACTAAAGTGACAACTAAGGTATGTGACAGAACTCTACTCATAGTCAATGAAGTGACGTCTTTGCTGAATCAGATGATAGGTTTTGAACAATGGAAGAGTATTTCCTCAATTTTTTGTACTGTTCACAATGGAATGGCCACAAACATGTCACATTTTTAAGTTTGATCTGCAATACTAACATTTTCTCCATCACTTTAAGTCTAGACAATCAACAGAACAATAAATCAAACCCTTATTTGTAGTGCTTGCCAGTTTCCATGCTTTAAGTGTTCCCACCATGGCCAGTTTCAAGCGACTAATGTGATGTCTCTGAACACAGAGTTGGGGAAGATAGGCAGTGGCACACCATTATAATATCCCCATCATACAGATACAGTGGATACATATAACATCAGAGATGATAGAGAAATAAATAAGAAATGATGAATTTGAGCATTTATTTCCTTTGTTTTTAATATAATGTATTTAATTGTAAGTTTATAAATTTAATTTTTAATAAAAGCTGTGCTTAATAACCAGCTCACAAAATTCTTGAAAATTTTGCAGTTGGCCCTCATGACCCAGTAGGAGCAAGCTGTAGTACACAGCTGTCTGTGGGCCGTCTAGGTGAAGATGTACAATGAATTCATGGATCTTTTCCTTAGAAGTTGGGTCTAAACTAGAGATGCTAATTCAGGAATCATTCCCAGGCTGGTTGAAGCTTTGGGGATAGAAATTGTCCAGGGAGAGCAAGTGGAAAGAGTGAGTCGAGTGAGAAGGATCCCAGGGCAAAGCCCTGGGGGAATATCCACTCTAATGGATGAGCTGGGCAGGAAGAGCCAGGGATCCCACTGAGCAGGGCCACGTGGAGAAAGAGAGCTTTCTAAGGAGACCTGCATTGTCGAGCCCCAGAGAAGTCAAGTAGGGAAGGGTTGAAGAATGTCTGTTGACTGAACAGCAGATTGCTAGTTGTATTGGTGGTAGACATCTCAGTGGAAGTGGTGGGTACTGAAGCTAAAACTTCCATTTTATAAAATGAGTGGGAAATGAGAAACCAGAGGCTGCAGTTTTAGATGTTCCTTTGTAGGACTTCACTGTAAAGGAAGTGATGGGGACAAGGACGGATGGTAGGTGGATAGAAATTAATGTCAGACTTCATCGTATTTATAATGTGTAGGGAAGGAGCCATGGGTTACAGGTGGCTAGTGAAGCAAGGTCTACGAGAGGAGGGGTCCTCTTCTAGGGTAGAAAGACTGCTCAAGCAAAAGGAACACTTTGTGAAATAGAAGAAAGCGAGTGAAGGAGATTGCAGGTATAGATGTGTTTTTACGTGTGGGCATGAGAAGTTGTCTTTACCGTAGTTTGCTGTTAAATGGCATGAGCATTTGCTGGTGGCCAGGCCGAACGTACTCACTCTTGCTTTAATGTAGTCCTGCAGTAGAGGGCTTACACATAAGTCACTTGGTAGTTAGCAACTCCTAGTTTGCCTGTTCCCCCTTTTTGCTAGACTAGAAGAATTAAGTTAGGGGATTCCCTGGTGGCGCAGTGGTTGAGAGTCCGCCTGCCGATGCAGGGGACACGGGTCCGTGCCCCGGTCCGGGAAGATCCCACATGCCGCGGAGCGGCTGGGCCCGTGAGCCATGGCCACTGAGCCTGTGCATCCGGAGCCTGTGCTCCGCAATGGGAGAGGCCACAACAGTGAGAGGCCCGCGTACCGCGCGCAAAAAAAAAAAAAAAAAATTAAGTTATTATTAATCCTAATAAATACTAGTGCCTCAAAGTAAAAGCTCTGAAATGGGCATGAGGAAACATGCATGTGCAAGGTGAAGATCAGTAACTGATGTTAATACCAACACATCTCTCAGTGTGCTTGTGAAGTTCATAATAGGTGCTCATGGCTGTGAGGTGCCTGTGGAAGACAGGGAAGATCCTTATTCCTGCAAACTACTCAACATCACGAATCCAGGTAAGTCTTCTTTTTCCTCAGCCTTACGACTGCTGTATACACTGGTCTTCCCTTACCCACGAGGGATACATTCCAAGACCCCCCGTGGATGCCTGAAATCCTGCTAGAACCAAGCCCTGTGTATACTGTGTTTTTTCCTGTTCATACATACCGATGATAAAGTTTAATTTATAAATTACGCACAGTAAGAGATTAATAACAGTAAGTAATAGTAAGATAGGACAATTACAACAACATACTATAATAAAATTTATGTGAATATGGTCTCTCTCTCTCAAAATATCTTATTGTACAAATTTAATGCCTTTTCCATTTAACTAAGCACTTCTCCTGCACGTAGTCATAACTTTGGCCGTTTGAAGTGTGACAGCAAAATTAGCACAAATTTCTTTTTCCTTGTTTACAACTTCACAGAATATTCTTGTGGTAGATCTTAGCAATCTCAGCATATGATTTTTTTTTTCCTTATTAAGTGGAGAACTTTTACCCATTCACTTGAAGGAAGCACTTCATGGCTTCTCTTTAGCATATCCGAATTGCCAGCATCACCACTCTTGCGCTTTGCGGCCTTAGTTAAGTAAAATAAGGGTGACGTGAACACAAGCACTGTGATGCCTCGAGGGTTGGTCTGACAACTGAGGTGGCTACTATGTGACTCACCGGTGGGATATGCTGGACAAAGGGATGGGTCACATCCCAGGCAGGGTGGAGATGGATGGCATGAAATTTCATCATGCTGCTCAGGACAGCATGCAGTTTAAAACTTATGAATTATTTCTGGAATTTTCCATTTAATATTTTTGGACCACAGTTAACTGTGGGTAACTGAAAAGCAAAACCACAGATGGCAGGTTGGGGAAGGGGGGATTACTGCACAGGTTTGATGTTGAGGAAGAGTTGTTGAGCTGAATAGTACCGTGGTCTGCTTTTAGCGGACTAAAATCAAACTTGCCTCAAAATGTAGCTTTCATCCTTCCTGACAGACTAACCACTCTGGGCACCTGTGAAGACTCTTCATAGATAGATATGTAATTTTAGGATCCAGGAGAGTTTATTTTTCAGTATGATTCAAACGCATCTGGAAATTCCTTAAGCATAGACAAATCCTGAGTTACTGAAGTTTAAACTTAAGGAAAACTGCTGATTTCACCAGCCTGCTGGTTTATAATAGCCTTGATACAAATATTGTGACTCAGCTTTCTCTAAGAATTATTGCCTAAGCTTCTGCAAGAGAAACAAATAGTAAAAAAAATTGAAAATACAAGTAATATTTTTTTATTCCTACAGTTAAAATTTTGTGATAGTTCTGATGAGGATGAAGAAAGGTGATCCTAATTAGGTTCTCCGTTTTACCAGGGAACCAATTTTAGAAAGTTGATAACTCTATACCTGTATATCTGTATTTATTAGCATTTCCCATTATGTTCAGCTGTGGTTCTAAGGGAGATGAAACTCTCCCAAATCTTAAATGTACTGATTATGACTTCAGGTGGTTTAAGATTTGTCACACCTCTATAATTATATGCACCTTGCCTTTGTAGGCAGCAGTAGTGTAATGGTTAAGAGCGTGGGTTCTGGAGTCAGGCCTCCTGGCTTTAAGTCTAGGCTGCATCATTTTCTAGCTGTATGACCTTCGAACAATTATTTACTACTCTGTGCCTCAGTTTCGTCATCTGTAAACTGGGGGTAAACAGTACTTACCTTATAGGGACTGACTTGAGGATGAAATACGTTGATACATATGAAATATTTAGAATAGTTCCTGGGACATGTTCAGTATTTAATATTGTTATTTTTAAAGGACCTGCCTTTTTATACAATTGGGTTGCAATCATATTTTTTAATAAATTGGACCATATTTTCAGGTCTGCATTGTAAAGCAGAGGTTTCTTACTTAGGGTGTCTATGAATTTAGTTAACAGTGTAAGCAAAATTTTGTGTATGATTGTTTTTTTCTGGGGAGAGGGTGCTTTAGCTTTCACTGGGGTCCCAAAGGGACCATGAACCTAATAAAATATTGTATCACTGATGATGTAAGAGTAGCCTAGAACAAATTATGTTTGAAATCCAAAACCAAGACAAACCAAATTTTAAGAAACCTTACCTTTAGATTAACCAGACTTTTACTATTTTAAGTGCTATTATTCATTAATGGTAAAAGAGTGGAGTTTTTCACTAATAGAAAATTTTCATATATATAATACCTAGGTTACCAGTTTTAAAAATAGATATAACTAAATTACCATTGAACCTAATTTTATCTCTTTGATAATTTAAATGGCATTTAGATTTATTTAAATACCTTAAGGTCGCCGTGAACATTAATCATCATGATACTCTTGGATGTATAGAAGTTTGATTAATAGCATTATCAAAGCAGCAGGCTATCTTGTGTCCAGGTAGCTTGAAGTTCAAGGTGCATTTGTTTTAGGTAGAAAATAGTTGTGTTATAATGTGCTTAACCTACTGCCTTTAATGGACATGCTTCACTTTGGATATCCTATTTACTGAGTATATTAAAGAGAAAACCTTTTGTTATTATCCACTATATTTGGAGTCTAGACTCTCTGGCCAGTGCTTGCCCCAGCCCATGACAAAATCTGTGTCCTCCTTTTTTCCCTCCTGCTCATGTGTGTAATTGGGAAGGAGCCATCAATTCCATTTAGTCACATTTTATTGAGCATCCACTAAGTGTAAAATAGCGTTCTAGGAACTCGAAAGTAGGGATCCAAATGATCTGCTGGAGTATGGGAAGAAAACAGGATTTCTTTTTATCTGAAAATAAAATGTAATCTTTATTAATATTGAATATATTAACTGACATTAATATGTGTATATTTTGTACATAAATATGACATTAATATGTGTACAAATGTTTTTAACTGGGTTGTGTGATCTGTAAAGTTGGAAAACCACAGCTCTAAAAAACACAAAGAACTTTGATAAAATAATCTTTTAAAATAAGTTTTTATGTTATTTCTCAAGGTGACACTGATATTCTCAGCCATATTAGCTGCTTCTTGTAATCTATCCTGATTCATTTATGGTAATTGAGAAATTTTTCCAAAAAGGACTGTTTTTGGCTTTGATTAGACAGATCTCTGGGGGGATAGAAAAAGCACTGAATTAGAAGTCAATAAATCTGGGTTTGATTCCTGGCTCTGCCACTTTCTGTGACCTTAATCAGATGTATCTCTGGGCCTCATTTTCTTAATCCGTAAACTGGAGATAATGTCACAACCACATAGAGTAGTTGTAAAGATTAAATATGATGGGAGGTGGCACATAGTAGGTGGTCAGAAATGCTTACTGTGTTTGATGTGCTTGTCTTGTTATTTGAAGTGATTTCAGTTACTTTCGTACTGTGATAATTGCCTGACATCACAAAAATTGCTCAACAAGACGTGGGATTTTTGGAATTTGCAGAGCAAGACTAAATTTACTCATTATTTATGACTGCAATTAGTACTGTTTTTATTATCCCCATTTATCCAACCTTTCCTAATAGATGCCTTTAAATTTAATATTCCCCTGTAGCGTTTATACATACAGATGCACACGTGTATAAAAAAAGTTTATTAAAGTAGTTCTTAAATATTTTACTTAGATGTGGTTGAAAACTTCATTCTTAAATTTCAAAATGAGGTGTTTTTTTTTTCTGGAAGCAGCCATATTTCTGAAGCACTTTAAAAATTTATTGCCATTTGTGAAAGAATTATATAACATATAATTATCTAGATTTTGCTATCAAGCCCACTTCATATTAGTAAAATAAACGTTTGTTTTCGTTTGATTATGTAAAACTCCTTTTCTCATTACTTCCTTAGTTTTGAATCAGGAAATTGAAGCATTCAGTCTTTTGGAAGACGCTTCATCAGGGCTCTCTGAGGACCGAGTTGTCAGCGTGAGCTTCCGAGTTCTCTATCCAATCGTTATTACCAGCCTCGGGGTGTTTTATGATGCCAGTGATGTGGGTTTCCAGAGGAACATCACCGTCAAGCTTTATCAAGCAGAACAGGAGGTATGCACTGCTTCGTACATGCTTTTCCCCACTTTTCTCTTTCAAAATCATCAGCTTTTCCTCATGCCAATGAGTAGGTTGGGAGACTTCCACCTTTCTTCCCTTACTGATTAGACACATTATAGTGTAATGTATTACAGTGCTAGTTTGAGGAGAGAATTCTAATGAATAAATGTGTTATACCTAGGAAAGGAGGAGTTGGACCAGATTAGAAATTTCCAACCTAAAATCCCCTAAATCCTAAGGAATTTCAAAAGTTGATAACGAATATTTAAAGTTTGGGACTTACAGGTATAAGCAAGTCTTATTGCCTCTTTCTTCCAACCCTAAAAGTCTATCACCATAATACAGGCTAACAGCTGCTTTAAATCTTTTTTGTAATAAGGGTGTAGAGGGAATAAAAGTTTAAAACAGCTAGGGTTACTGTTTCTGATATTTGAGAAAACCTAATTTGTTCACAGTGTATCTGAAGGAGTGTAGCAAGGAATTGTATTTGAAAAGATCTGTCCCTGGGTTTTAAACTGCAGAAATCTTGAAAGAATTATACAATGAGCACCCGTATATCCACCACCTAAATTCTACAATATTTTGCTGTATTTGCTTTATGACATCTATAGTCATTCATTGATCTATCTTTTTTTTAAAATGTATTTTAGATTAACTTACAGGCATCAGAACCCTTCAACCCTAAACATTTTAGTGTGCATATAATTAACTAGACTTTAATATTTGTTTATGGTTTAAAAAAATTTACAGAGTATAAGGTGCATTCAGTTGTTTAAACTGTGTAAACCTGTGTAATCCAAACTCCTATTACCCAACCCCATTACCTAGAGGCAACCACTGTTCTATTTTTTTTTTTTAACATGGACTAGTTTTGCCTGTTGTAGGATTTTATGTATAAATAGAATCATATACTAAGCACTCTCCTGTGTAAGGCTTCTTTCACCCAACATAATGGTTTTGAAACTCATCCATGTCATTGTGTGTATCAGTGAATTTTTCCTTTTCCTTCTTTTAATTGTGAAGTTGTATTCCAACAATATATGATGTTTATGTGTTCTGTTGATGGACATCTGGAATGTTTCCAGGGTTTTTCCTCCTTTATTCTGTTACTGTGATGAATTACATTTATTAACTTTGCAGTGTTAGATCAATTTCCTATTCCTCTTGATCACAACATATTATTCTTTATATATTGCTGGAAATTGTATTTCTTGCGCATGGCATGTAGTTGGGTCTTCCTTTTTATCCAGTCTGGGAGTCTCTGCTTTTTACATGGAGGGTTATTCCATTTATATTTAATGCATTTATTAAAGTGGTTGGATTTCAGTTTTTCATTTTGCTATTTGTTTTCTGTTCTACTTTTTTTATTTGTTTCTCTTTTCCTCTGTTTCATGCCTGCTTTCAGGTTAATAGAGTATTTTTTACAATTCCATTTTAACTTTTCTGTTGTTCTTTTAGCTACAGCTCTTTGTACTATTACTTTGTGGGAGCTTGGTTGACATAAGAATTACAATATATATCCTGAACTTTTCAGTCTTCTTTAAGTTAACGTACCCCTTCATGTAAAATATAAGAACCTTGCCACTATATAATTCCATTTACCATCCCCTGTCTTTGCTCTAATTGTCATATGCCTTATATCTATATGTGCTATAAATCCCACAACACAGTGTCACAATTTTTGCTTTAAACAGCTAACTGTATTAAAGTAATTTAGAGGAAAAAGCCTTTTATATTTGCCCACTTACTTACCATTTCTGGTGTTCTTCATTCCTCCTGAATGTCTCCTTTGGCCCAAATCAAATCCTTTACCAATTTTATAGTGCAGGTTGACTGGTGATGATTTTGCTTACTTTTCATTTTTCTGAAAATGTTTTTAATTTGCATTTATTCTTCCCCTCCTTTATTTTTGTGGGATATTTTCTGGATATTGAAATTCTGGGTTGACTTTTTTATCTTTTCAATATTTTGAAGATGTCATTCCAGTGTTTTCTGGCCTCCATTTTTTCTGGTGAGAAGTCAACCTTCCTTCATGTTGTTCCCGTGTATGATGTATGTAATACGGGTTTTGTTTTTTTCCTGGCTAATTTTAAGATTTTTCTCTTTATATGTATTTGGTTTTAAGCAGTTTGGCTGTGTTGTACCTTGGTGTGGTTTTTCTTTGTTCTGCTCAAGGTTTGCCAAGTTTTTCAATCCATAAATTTATGTCTTTTACCAAATTTGGGAAACTTTCAGCTCTTATTTCTTCAAAAATTTTTTCCCAGCCCCATTTCTCTCTACTCATTCTGGGATTCCAGTTACATGTATGTTAGACCTTTTGGTACTGTCCTGCAGATCACAAAACTGTTTTTTCTTTTTTTCAGTTTTTTCTCTCTTTTTCAAATTTGATAATTTCTGTTAATCAGTATTCAAATTTATTGACTCTTCTGTCATATCAAATCTGTTAAGCCTAGCCAGTGATTTTTTTTTTAGATATTGTACTCTCTAGTTCTAGAATTTCCATTTAATTCTCTTTTGTAATTTATATTTCTCTAAAATTTACTATTTTTCTAAATTCATTTTGAGCATATTTTCTCTGTGGGCTTGACCTTACTTGTAATAAGAGTTTTAAAATCCTGTGTCTGCTACTCTAAATTGGAGTCATCTTGGCCTGTCTTCATTGATTATCATTGTTTCTCTTGCACATGGTAACATTTTCCTGTTTTATCTTACATCGAGTAACTTTGGATTATATCCTAGATATTGTGAATAATTCATTATAGAATCTCTGGATCCTATTATATTCTTTGAGGAGTATTGATTTTTTGTTTGTTTCTTTTAGCAGTCAGTTAAATTAGCTGGGCACAGACTCTAAACGCTGTCTTCCTTGTAGTGAGCAGCAGCTGAAATCTCTAGTCTATTCTTTTGGACTTAGATGGGCTGCTTGGATTCTGCTTTGAATATGTACTTCGTGAGTCAGCCACAGATTAGGACAGAATTTATGTGAAGAACTGAGGATTCTGTCTGTGACCCTTTCCTTTCTGGGGTTTTCTTCCTCACTTGTTAGCTGATGTGTTTGTCTCCACCCTGCCTTCTCATTTGCAAACAGAAAGACTGCAGTTTTTATTTCAGAATTTTAGTTGCCCCCTGAGGTATGCCTCAGACAAAGAGCCATTAAAAAACAAAAAGTGGGGGAAGCACACCCAGTGTCTTTCTCATCTCCTTGGTATTGCTTTTCCTCCAGTTTCTGCTGGCTTTGTGTGCATTCCAGTGCCTTCAGCTCTTTCTTTTTTTAAAATGTTTTGTCTACTGTTCATAATTGTTATCTATAGGAGAATTGGTCTTGATATCACTGGAAGCAGAACTCTGTTCGTTTTTTTTAGGCGTCTTTTAAAATGTTTTTATATTATTTCTTGGCTGTGTTGGGTCTTAGTTGTGGCACACGGGGTCTTAGTTGCGGCATGCGGGATCTTTGTTGTGGCATGCTGGTTCCAGAGCCTGTGGGCTCAGTAGTTGCAGTGTGCGGGCTCCAGGGTGTGTGGGCTCTGTAGTTGTGAACAGGCTCCAGGGCACATGGGCTCTGTAGTTGTGGTGCACAGGCTGTCTACTTGTGGCGCACGGACTCAGTAGTTGCGCCACGTGGGCTTAGTTGCCCCGTGGCATATGGGATCTTAGTTCCCCGACCAGAGGTTGAACTGGCGTCCCCTGCATTACAAGTTGGATTCTTAACCACTGGACCACAGGGAAGTCCCCCTGTATTATTGTTAATGTTGGTTGTTACTAACAGGGTACAATGTTACAGTCAGCAATAAACACACAAATGAAGGTTAAATTTCTTGTTTGCAGTTTATCCTAGTCCTTTGTCCTCTAAAGAATTTATGTAGTTTGTAAATGTGCTTAATGACATAAATATAAATATAAGAGAGGGAACAAATCTTAGTGATGATTCCAGCCATTATGATTCCAGTGAGAAAAGCTTTGTCATGTTACTCAAGTATAGGAGTTCATATATTATTGTGGTTAAAGTTTTCATTGATATTGAAGCTCAAATAGGTAACTGGAATAGCAGTACTCTGAATTCCACTGTCAACCTTATCTAGAAATTAGGATCAGTCTTGAATGTTTTTTGATACTTAATTTTCTTAGTATATATAGTCTTTTTTTAAACTATTCATAATGTTTGAGTTGTCACTCAAGTAGTTTGGTTCAGATGTACAGTATTTTGGTCATGTTGATTTCACTTTTAGTTGCCATGTTTTTACCCAAGGAGAGGTTAATCTTTGTCCTCAAGGAAGGCCTAATTCCAGGTGGATCATAATGGGTTCACAGGGAGTCACGATGTAAAAAAATATTACCCTAGCGTTGCCAAGAGCTGATGTTAATGAAAGAACTACGCTAACTCATTAACCCCCTTCATCCTGAACTTCTGCATGGTCTTGGTGGCTTTAACAGCAGCATCCCCTGTGGCAAATCGGTGTCTAGAATAGGTGTGAGAACAAGGAATTGTTCTTGCCCAAAACAAGAAGTAAGGGCCCAAAGCAAACAATAGACATAATGAGGATCACTTCTCTTTTATGTTCCCTTTTTTGTTTTTGTTGTTCTTCTAAAGGTTCTTTTTGAAGGGGGATTCCTGAGTACCTTTGTTCTATGTAGAAATCTGTGCTCTTTCAGTTTATTCTTAACCCTTTGCAGCTAAACCTAATAAGTCGGCTTAATTTAACACCTTACACTTCCCCTAATGCTCCTCATTTCAAGGTGTCTTTTTTTTTTTTTAAGGTTATCTGGATTATATTTAGTGTTTTAGAACTTCATGACAACTTTGGTTATCTTCAGTAGCTTTATTTAATAACCATGATTGCACTAGAAAACCCGAATGATGCCTAAACCGCAGTAGAACAATGTTAGTGACTGTGGTCAGGGCCACTGAGAATTTAGCTGACCAACATGTAACTTGAAAACTTGCTGCATGTGCCGTGTCTGACATAGGGTATTTCTTCTTGTCTTTTTCTCCCCGATCTGTAGGAGGCCCTCTTCATTGCTCGCTTCAGTCCTCCGAGCTGTGGGGTGCAGGTGAACAAGCTGTGGTACAAGCCTGTGGAGCAGTTCATCTTACCAGAGGTACAGGCTGTAGTAAAGAGACTCTGGTCCCAGTGCAGGCTGCTGTCGGCCTGAGGATGTGCTTCCAGAGGCAGACACTGCATATTCTCCTGCCAGGACAGCTCTCCAGAGTGGTGGGTGAGGCTACCAGCGGGGATGTACTAAGCTGTAGCACTCTGCATTCCTCCCTCCAGAGAGCTACATCATACCCCAAAGGTTCCAAACCTCACTTTGAAAAGCGTTGCATGTTACCATGGTTTATTTAGTGGAGTAGAGGACTGCATGAGTGCTCTAGTGACAAAGGATAGTAATAGGTGTGGTTGATAGAAAGACCAGGCACAGGTACCATTTGAGTAAGTCAAATAGTTTGCTTATCTAAAGAATAGGGGGGTGGAGGGAAGTGCAGACAGGATAATGGCAAAGAGATCTGTCACATTTCCAAGATAAATAAAACTTCTCCAAGTAGTGGAAGATGTTTGAAAACATAACTCTTAGGTAGGGACCACCTCAGCTGCCAGGTGCCCTCATCAGCCCTGGAGTTAAGCCCACATGTGTTTGTATTACACTGTGTATTACACAGCTGGACATGAACACATTGTTCATCCATCAGCCTCAGCCTTTCCAGGCTATTGCAGTCTTGTCTGAGTACATTTCTGAACAGCATGCTTTGGAACCACAGTGTAGGGGTCAGTTTCCCTGTCATCTCTGGCGGTCACTTTAGATGAGCTCTAGTTGACAAGTTCCCCCGGCGACATGAACGCTGAATTAAGATGTGGAAGCTGGATGATTGACCAGCCCTGCTGGCTAACCAGGAAACATCTTTCTACCACCAGGCATGTGGGTTGCTGTTCACATTTATGCAACAGCAAAGTCACACATTTTATAAGGTGCTGTGTATCTTTGGAGTTGAGTACAGGTAGTTAAACTTTGCATGTTAATTCTGTGACTGTTAAAGGGAGCTCCTTTGTTTCACCTATGGGTACCTCTGTTTAAAAGCATTTTACAGAAAAGCAAAACTAAAACATACTGGAAAAAATTTTCCAGTTTCTCAGTGTTATAAAAAAGACTGTAGTGAACATCCTTACACTCTGTTTTGTGTACATAACTGGTTATTTTCTTAGGATGAATTGTTGGTTCAAATTTCTGCACATTTTTGAGGCAGATAATTTCTTTCTGGAGGACAGTTTAGCAGTTTGTATCAATTTGAATAATCATCAACATTATATGAGAATGCCTATTTACCTATATATATGACTTTTTAAAATTTCATATATGAACTTTCTTCCTTGTTAAATGAAGTATGTACCATCAAAGGTATATCTTACTCTTAATTAAAAGTAGTGGCTCAACTAAGTAGTATTGGCCAAGTGTTGGATCTCAGTTTTTGAAGGAAGCTACTCTTTGGTTTGTTTACTCATTGACTCAGAAAATATTTATTGAGAACTTAGTATATGCCAAGCATGGGGGCTATTTGAGACGTAGTACAAAGATCCTTGCCCTTAAAGCAGTTTATGTCCAAGTGAGGATAGAAGAGCCAGCACTGATATTCTGCTTAGCTTGCTGTGTCCCAGGCACAGCTGTAAGCAGATTTCCTGCACTGATTGGTCCGCTCCTTTAGGATTGAAGCGAGTCATCAGTGAGAGTCCTGCCTTTCTACTCAGAACCAGCATGGGCAGAGCCTCACTCAGACTCTGCGATTCCCAGGGGAGAGGAGTGTGACTCTGAGGGGACCAGGAGCACGAGCGCCGCGTTAGGTGCTCTCCAGAAAGGTCTGGAGCCTGCTGGAGGATTGATTTTCACAGACCACTCACGCGGGTTGGCACGAATAGGAAAGGAAAGGCTGCCGCGCCTGGAAGGCAGCGTGGGCGGCACGTTCGGGTGCAGGTGCCTGAGCAGCCGCCTGTGGGTGAGGTTGAGTCCCTCGCTGCCACTCGGTGGCTCTGTGACCTGGAGCAAGCTCCTTCGCCTCACTGCGTCTCTTCCCTCCTTTGTCAGAGGCACCCAGTTCAGAGGGTTACGCTAGGGCATAAATGATTTCCTAGATGGAGAATGTTTAAAACATGCCGCCACATGGTGAGCATTCGGTAAAGAAATGTGCGCTGGCTTCTTCACTGCTGGTCCTCCTCTGGACTTGTGGTTCTTCAAAAGCGGTGTCTCTCCCCCGGGCCGTTTGGCCCTAGGGGACACTTAGCAGTGTCTGGAGACAACCCCGTGTGGAGCAGCGCTGGCATCTTGTGGGCAGAGGCCAGGGATGTTTTGAACATCCCACATCGTACCGGACACGTCCCCACAGCAGAGAATTATCTGGCCCCAGATGTCAGCGGTGCGCAGGTAGAGAAACTCCAAGAGGAAGGAGTCACAGTGTGGGGCAAGGAGAAAGAAGATAAGCTGTAATATTAACTTCAGGCTAATCACAGTCTTATGGGGCCTGCTCCATTATCTTGGTCAGCCTCGTAGAAAGAATTACAGTGTTTGATGAGTCCACAAAAAAACATTACTTTCCCTTAGAATGTCCTTGTCCTTAGGAAATACATGCTGAAGTCAAGGTGAAATGTATTTTACTTTCAAGTGATTGAACAACAAAGAACAACAGAAAAGAATGTGTGTCTAGAGACAGAGATAAAGCACATATGGCCAGGGACTTCCCTGGCGCTCCAGTGGTTAAGGCGCCACGCTTCCACTGCAGGGGGTGCAGGTTTGATCCCTGGTCAGGGATCTAAGATCCCGCCTGTTGTGCAGTGCGGCCAAAAAGTTAAAAAAAAAAAAAAAGGGGCACATGTTGCCAAATGTTAACAGTTGGTGAGTCTAGGGGATTTGGGTGGTAATTTCAACTTCTGTAGGTTTGAAGCTTTTCAGAATAAAAATTAGGTTGGGGCAAGGAGCTGCCTTCCTTGCTAGTGTTCAGGATGGTATATATGGCAGTAGGTACTCAGGACGGGAAGGACTCAGCCAAGTCAGGTAGTGGCCGTTTTAGTTATTAAGACTTCTCCTGGCTAAAGCCTTGTGATCTTTATTTCCCTTGACGCTTTAAGCTAAACTAGCTTTTGGTTTTTCATTACATCTGAATAACGTTTTTTCCTTCTATAAACATGCAGTTATTTAATAGTGTCTGCATCTGGGGGAGTAGGATTATGGATTTTTATTTTCTTCTCTCTGTGTATCTATTTTCTAAATGTTCTGAGATAAATATATATTAGCTTTTATTAAAAGAAAAAAAACTTTTAAAGATAACATATTCTTTCCTTTTACACAAAATCCTATTTTTGTTGAAAACCTGTTTAATTTTATATAGATACTCATTTTTGCTGCCTCAAGCCTAATTGGGCTTATTTGCACAGAAAACATGGTAGTGATGAATGGGTTTGCCTGCCTGCCTATCATCAGCAGAGTATGCCCGAAGAAGAACAGACCGTTGATCCCAGTTGCGAGGGAGAAGTGGTTGATTTGTTCATCATCTTATTCCTTCCACACTTCACAGTCGGCTAGAGTAACGTCAGCAGTATGGCTTGTCAGCTAAGCAGGGCTCTTGCACTGTTTTCGTTGTGTGACTCACTAAAGCATAAATCTCACTGGGGGTCACAAATTTAAATGGAGACTACTGTGTGTTTCTTTTAAAATATTTATTTCTCTAATTTCATATTTCTCTTAGTGCACCTGAAACTAATTTCAATATATTTTCATTCAACTCGAGTCACTAGAGACAGTATTGTTAGTATCATGGGTACTTATATACTTATTTTTTATGAAAGTTGAAATTCTTTAGAGGTAGTCATTTCTCCAGTCCACAAGAAATCGTTAACAGTTACAGGTACAAAAGTACTGTGTATGTTTAAGCTACTCTGTTGGTTTGGATGACGAGTTAGAAATAGGACACAGAAGAATGGACAGCATAGGTTGCACATAGCTCACTTACGTTATGGGTGAGAGGACTTATGAGAGCTCATTTTTCCAACCTATACCGTGCTGTTCTTTCCTGCCTTTTCCTTTGGTTTTATGATTTTAGCAGGGAATTGCCATAAAGAAGCTGTTTCGCATCTGCAGAGATTCCTAGCTTTGTGATTACTTTGTATCATGTGAGAGAAGTGGGGAATAGAAATTTAACTGTGCCATGGAGCAGCTACAGGGGAGGTGGAGAAGGTAGAACCCCTCCCTCCTCTCATAACAAAAACAACTGGTTATCAGTTGAGTGAATAAAAAAGCAGGATCACTTTTTGGGCTAATGGGTTTTTCTGGTAATTACTCAGTTTAGTCAACATTGTTGATGTTATATCACAACCCAGTCAAACAAAATGGAGTTGGGTGCCGGGCAGAGTCAGGTGCCAAGGGTCAGTTGACTGGACTGGACAGAGAATTACTTGATTTGTCATCATATTTGCCAGATTTGTAGTTTCAAGGTGAAGCTTTTCTGAGGTCACTATAGCTTTTACTTTGCTATGGTTCATTTGGAACTATAGTTGCAAAGATTCCCAGTGACCTAACTGCCACCTCCAGGGGACACTTACCTGGAGTCCTTACCCTAGCTGACTGCAGTTTTCTCTTAGCTTATATGATATGCATTCTTCTGGTTCAGCTTAATCTGGCCCAGTCCTTCTTCCCAGTACATAACTTCATTATCTCCTCTTTCGTTTTCCCCTTAAACGTTAATCATTAGGATGTGATACCCAGCCTTCTGTTTATTTTACTCATTCTTCCTAGACAGTTTCATCTATTACCACCTGTTTACTGCAGCCCAGATTTCTTATGAACTCCATACACACTTCAGCCACCTACTGAACTCCTCCACTTGAAATGTCCCCTGGGCGTTCTATGGTGATAGCATCTCCAGCCCACCCATTCTCATCTCCTCCTGTATTTTCAGTCTTGGGTCATAGTATCTCCTTTTTCTCAGGCACCCAAACCAGAATCGTGGGCTTTAATCCTCAATTCTCATATCCAAGCACTCACTAAGTCCTATCATTTCTTTCTCTGAAACTTATTTGGCATCAGTCCTTCCAAACTTTATCACTATTAAAGTTTTAGAAGAAAGTAAAGTATCCCAAGGGGAAGAGGTCGTTGTTGCCAGGAGAAAGACACATGATTAACCCAAAGCAGCCTCACACAGTCGAGGGTCTAGGACTTAGCTTTTGGGTCCTAATGCTGACCTTGCGGAGTGTATAAACCAGAATGTCTATTGATTCATGTTCGATGGGTGTTAGCTCATTAGAGTGGTTTGAATTCTTGTGGCCACCAGCTAGGAACCTCCTTCCTGATATGTCAAGGCACCTAAAAAACAATCTGAACTGTACTTGGTTCGGGCATTGAATTTGATTACAGCAGTGGGAGGTGGTGGGTGTTTTTGAGAGCTGCCTCATTTAGGTAGGATGTGACCAGAGTGCTTTATATCTTCCAGTTATTCTATCTCTCCTTAGACATTGCTACTTGTTGCCAAAATTCTCTCTTAGACCAGCTTTCCTATAGTGTTTGAAGGTATTGATTTTACTAATTAAGCTTCAACCTTAGAGCTCTTCCCAGTTATTGGAAACATTGTTTCTTTTACTTGAAGAATTTAATTAGTTCAACTCAGAGGGCAGTCTCTTTAAATTTATTTAATTGAGATATAATTGACATACAACATTATATTAGCTTCAGGTATTCAATAAAATGATTCAATATATGTATTTGTTGCAAAATGATCAACACAAGTCTAGTTAATATCCATCACCAGACATAGTTACAAGTTTTTCTTATGATGAGAACTTTTAAGATCTACTCTCTTAGGGGCTTCCCTGATGGCGAAGTGGTTAAGAATCCGCCTGCCAGTGCAGGGACATGGGTTCGAGCCCTGGTCCGGGAAGATCCCACATGCCGCGGAGCAGCTGAGCCCGCGAGCCACAACTACTGATCCTACGTGCCACAACTACTGAAGCCCACGTGCCACAACTACTGAAGTCCGTGAGCCTAGAGCCCATGCTCCGCAACAAGAGAAGCCACTGCAGTGAGAAGCCTGTGCACCGCAAAGAGTAGCCCCAGCTCGCCACAACTAGAGAAAGCCCGCGTGCAGCAATGAAGACCCAGTGCAGCCAAAAAAATATATATAAATAAATAAATTTATTAAAGAAAAAAAATCTACTCTCTTAGCAACTTTCAAATATACAATACAGTATTATTAACTACAGTCACCAGGTTGTACATTACATCCCCAAGACTTATTTTTTTGTAAGCAGAAGTTTGCACCTTTCGATCACCTTCACTCGTTTTAGCCACCTCCCACCACCCACCTCTAGCAACCACCCATCTGTTCTCTGTATCTATGAATTCAGTTCTTTTTGTTTATTTTAGATAAGTGAGATCCTTATGGTATTTGTCTTTTTCTGTCTGACTTATTTCACTTAGTGTAATGCCCTTGGGGTTCATTCGTGTTGTCACAAATGGCAAGATTTCATTCTTTTTAATGGCTAGTAATATTCCATTGTATATAGATACCATATTTTCTTTATCCATTCATTCACTGATGAACACTTAGGTTGCTTACATGTCTTGGCTATTGTAAATAATGCTGCAGGGAGCATGGGGGTGCATATATCTTTTCGAGTTAGTGTTTTCATTTCCTTTGGATGAGTACCCAGAAGTGGAATTGCTGGATCATATGCTAGTTCTATTTTTAATTTTTTGAGGAACCTCCAAACGTTTTTCTGTAGTGGCTGCCTCAGTTTACATGCTCATCAACAGTGCACAAGTGTTCCGTTTTCTACACATCCTTGCCAACACTTATTATTTCTTCTTTTCAGTACTAGCTGTTCTAACATATATGAGGCGATATCTCATTGTGGTTTTGATTTGCATTTCCCTTATGATTAGTGATGTTGAGCATCTTTGCATGTACCTGTTCACCACCCGTATGTCTTCTTTAGGGAAATGTCTATTCAGATACTCTGCCCATTTTTTAAAACTGGCTTCTTTGGCTTTTTGTTATTGAATTGTTTGAGTTCTTTATATATTTTGGATATTAACTCTTTATCAGATACATGATTTTGCAAATATTTTCTCCCTTTCAGTAGGTTGCCTTTTCCTTTTGTTGATAGTTTCCCCTGCTGTGCAGAGCTTTTTAGTTTGCTATAGTACTACTTGTTTATTTTTGTTTTTGTTGCCTTTGCTTTTGGTATCAAATCCAAAAAATCATACCCCGAGACGGATGTCAAGTAGCTTACTGCCTATGTTTTCTTACAGGAGTTTCCTGGTGTCAGGTCTTATGTTCAAGTTTTTTTAACACATTTGAGTTGATTTTTGTGTATGGCATAAGTTAGTGGTCCAGTTTCGTTCATGTTAAGCACGTGGCTGTCCAGTTTTCCCAACGCCATTTGTGGAAGAGACTGTCCTTTCCCTGTTGTATATTCTTGGCCCCTTTGTTGTGAATTAATTGACCACATATGCATGGGTTTATTTCGGGGCTCTATTCTGTTCCACTGATCTATGTGTATGTTTTTTTACCAACACCATATTGTTTTGATGACTGTAGCTTTGTAATATAGTTTGAAATCAGGAAGCATGATGCTTCCCACTTTGTTCTTCTCTCTCTAGATTGCTTTGGCTATTTGGGATCTTTGATTCTATACAAATTTTAGGATTGTTTGTTCTATTTCTGTAAGAAATGGCATTGGTATTTTGATAGGGATTGCACTGAATCTGTAGATTGCTTTGTGTAATATGGACATTTTAACAAGTTTTTATTTTTCCAATCTATGATCATGGAATATCTTTCCATTTATTTGTGAATGGATAAAGAAGATGTGGCACATATATATAATGGAATATTACTCAGCCATAAAAAGAAACAAAATTGAGTTATTTATAGTGAGGTGGATGGACCTAGAATCTGTCATACAGAGTGAAGTAAGTCAGAAGGAAAAAAACAAATACTGTATGCTAACATATATATATATATATATATGTATATAATCTAAAAAAAAAAAAGGTTCTGAAGGACCTAGGGGCAGGACAGGAATAAAGATGTAGACGTAGAGAATGGACTTGAGGACACAGGGAGGGGGAAGGGTAAGCTGGGACGAAGTGAGAGAGTGGCATGGACTTATATATACTAACAAATGTAAAATAGATAGCTAGTGGGAAGCAGCCGCATAGCACAGGGAGATCAGCTCGGTGCTTTGTGTCCACCTAGAGGGTGGGATAGGGAGGGTGGGAGACGCAAGAGGGAGGAGATAGGGTGATACATATATATATGTATAGCTAATTCACTTTGTTATAAAGCAGAAACTAACACACCATTGTAAAGCAATTATACTCCAATAAAGATGTTTAAAAATAAATAATTCTGAAAGAACATTCTTAGTATATAAAATATACAGTATTAATTTATTAAAGCTTACACAGATTAATAAGAAAAATATAACTCAGTAGCTAAATGGCAAAGAAGCACGACAAGGCAATTCCCAGAAGAGACTACAATTCATAAACATCATTAGAAATCAAAAGAAACACCAATTAAATGAACCGTTTCTTTAAATCTACTAAATTAGCTTAACTTCTTTTATTAATATCCCATACTGGGAAGAGGACAATGCAACTGGTATTCTTATAAATTGCTAATGACCCTACAGGTAGAATTTGTTTTTGAAAAGCAGTTTGGCAGTGTGTACCAAAATCCAAAGTATCTCTATTCCTGTCCCAGTAATTTCACCTCTCGGAATTTATTTTAAATAAAAATCAAAGTACTGGGGAAAAATAAACATTTACACCAAAACACGCCTCACATTATTTTAGTAGCTATTTGGTAGTATCCAGATGTCCAACGGTAGGGAGATGTCTGAGTGAATCAGGATGCATTCACTCAGCAGTATTGCTACAAGTACTTGAAAAAGAGCAGTTGTAACAGCGGCAGTCGCATAAGGAAATGCCTTTGATGCAATGGGAAATGACAGCAGCATGTAAAACTGTCTATAAGGTCTTTGTAACTATTGTTTTAGACGTGCTCTAAGATATACACCAAAATGTTAGCACTGGCGTCTTAGCGCGCAGTAAAAGTCTTAACCAATGTGTCTTAGAAAAAATAAACTCTTCTCTAGAAACTTACTTAAAACCTAAATGACAGCAATAAAGAAACCGACTCACTGTTCATCTTTCCACAAAAGAGCTTTGAAGGTACAATCGTGTGGGAGAGCCAAGACCTCCAAGGCCTTGTGTCAAGAAATCTCCACAAAGTGACAGTCAATGATGGGGGAGGAGTTCTCAGAGTCATCACAGTAAGTCATTCATTTTTAAAGGTTGTTTAGCACACCTTAGCATTTTTTAATATGTAAAAGTGTTTTTAAGTTTATTTTTACATCAACTCATATGGAACAATGAATCTTATGTATTTTAGAACATATACACTAGAAAATGTTGAGGCACCACATAGTAAAGATGAAAAACTCAAATGTATGATTTTGTAACTTCAACCTTAGTAAATATATAGTTTTGCCTTAAGTCTAGTGCATTTTAGAGAGTGCGATGTTTTATTTCTTCATAGTTTTTAAGTTAATGTTCTTTTAAGTTCACTTACTCTATAGTATTCAGAATATTCACTATCTCACCTTGATAGTATGATGTCAGTTACAATACTGTAGATAAAAGTATTAGAAAGTAAGGTTGAGTATTCACTTCCGTTTATGTTGGGATTTGTGACTTTTACTTTTCATTTGCCAAATTTTTTAAAAATTTGAAACAGGTTGAGAATAAATTTCTCAAAGTGTAGGATGAAAAAGAAGGTGTAGGCAAACTTAAAATGGTGAACTTTAAGTAAACAAGTGGTATATGTGCTGATGTCAGACAGAATTGTTCTCCTTGATGCTCTAATCTAATTACGAAAGCACTTGGCATTTAAGGTCACAAGCTTAGTACATTCCATTAAATATTAACCTTATTCACGTAAATTAATACCTGAATTTGAAATGAAAATCATGTGGTTTGTTTTTACACATTCAGAAAACATCTACTGCACACTTGTGAGCCAGGCACAGTCATGGGGAAAACAGGCCCATTACTGGCCCACAGTGGAATTTATAGTCCAGTGAGGGGAAAAGACACTAGACAGATAGACCCCACAAATTCATGTGTAATTACAACCTTAGCCTTGTAGGCCATGTATCAGATTTCATTCTTGATTATGAAAAGTCCTTTATTTAAGACACAGTGTTTTACGGATTTATAGTTTTTTTTCTTTCCTTATTTTCAAAGCAAGTGCCTTTAATATCTTGCCTCCTTTTCTGTGTATGAAACTTAAAAATATCCAAAACATGCCAGAATTCTATACTGCTCAGTTCGTTGCACAAAAGGAAATCAGTTTACTTCTGAATTGAGGGCTAGATTTAAACGTAAAGACTCAAGTGATCTGCTCTGGGGGTGAATATGGTTGTGGAGGGCAGTGATGGTGTAAACACTCAGCTAACCTAAAAAAAAGTCAGATAACTTAGTAGCCTATTCTAAGAAACCCATGTAGAGCTGGAAGTTTTCCTAAGTCTCGCTGCCTTGCCAGCAAGTAATCATGTCAGAAAAAGTTTAAAGACCAAATAAAAGCCAAGCTGTGACCTTTTAGACAGAAGTTAATAAACATAAAGTACTGTTAAGTAAACAAGCCAAAACAGTATAGATTGTACAATTAAAAAAAAAGAGTGTGCAATCTTTTGTAGATGTACAAGGTTGGAATCTGTAGCGCTCACCTTTAGAGATTTCCTCCACATTCAGCTACAAACCATATTCTGAATTGAATGGCAATTTTCCCACAATCACTGCAGAACACTGTCTCTCTACTGGCCTTATTAAAACATTGCTTTGTACAGGGGACAGCTCTGCTAGAAGGATCTGTTCAAAGAGGACTACCCAGGCAGTAAGCCCTCTTGACCACCCGTCAAGAAGAAACGCTGTAAACATGCTGAGGCGTGGCTGTGACAATCCCATCCAGCCCGCAGCAGCTGGATCGCTGGTAGGGTGTTAAGTTGGGGTGGAACACATAGAGGTGAGGCCCCTCACTTTGAGTAAGGGCCTGGGGTAACCTGTGAGGTAAAAGAGGTAAATCTCGTAATAACCAAAGATGCTCCACACCTTAGCGGTAGAGGGGACTGTTGTTGGCTGTTGGTGCAGTGGGCACCTTCAGCATCAGTAATCAGTACGGCTCGGGCTGAACTGTTTGCTTAGAGGGCTTGTCTCTGCGTGGTAGCTGTCACTTTGAAATGTGCTTGGGTGTATTTGAACTCATGGGCATTTTCAATCTCCACGAAATCAGAGGTGGTAATAATTTTTTTTAAGTGGTGGAGTTCGGATGTAAAAGAAAATTGGTCTTGGTAATAGTGTTGGTAGCAAGTTCAAGAATACGTGATTCTGTGTAGGCTGGAATTCTGAACACTAATCCGTAGATTACTGTGTGTACCTGAACTTGGACTAGACGACAAAACTCGAATGCTGATGTCATCCTGACAGCATAAGTCTAGTGCATCAGCATCTTAGACGAATTTATGTGCTGTGGCGTCACATTATGAATTGTGCCAAATCAGTTTTCAAATATAAGAAATGTGCTCTTAGTAATAAAACACCAAGCACTTCTATTCTGGTTTCTTTCAGGCTGGGGAGGGTGCCTTGCCTCATGAATTCATGGAAGGTGTGGAGGGAGTTGCAGGTGGCTTTATTTATACTATTCAGGGTAAGTCAACTGGTTAAAAGTTGAAAAACATACTGAATCTCGCCCACCTCATCTTCATACTTTTGATATCAAAGGTAATCTTTTCTCTTTTTTTTGGTCATTAAAAATAGTAGCTCTATTGCTACATAATTCACATACCATATACTTTACCCTTTTAAAGTATTTGATTCAATGGCTTTCAATGTATTCAGAGCTCTGCAGCCCTCTCCACCACCCCAAAAAGAAGTGGCTGTGTTTGTCTTCTTGAGTGATGCTCCTGAAAATATCCACATCAATGAATTCCTGTATCAGTGATCTCTAAGAAAAGCTATTGTTGATGCGGTTGCTCTTGGTCACTTGTCCTGATCACCACTTACGGAACAAAGGTGCCTAGTAGTGCATCATCTGGCTTCTCAAAGCTCTGCAGATCATGGATTCCTATAAAAGAATTAGGACACAGCTTCCCTGAAGGCACACAGTGACTTGGGGAAAGCAGAGGCCGTATTCTGAGAGGCAGGTCTTCAGGGGTCTCCCTTAATAGTGCAGGGTTGAGGATGGGGCAGACCCTCTGTTTGAGGCCACTACAGGTAGTCTGAAGATGTGAATGGGCTGTGGCTTTTTTCAATTTCTAGCATCTTTATTTATACAGTATTTCCTCATAGAAGTATTTCTAACATCACCCCTAAGGGTAGGCTGGAATAGGTACAGGTTTTACCCACAAACCTGCCATTAAAAATAGAGATTTAAAATTTACGGATCCTTAATTTTAGTCCAGAGATTTTTCATAAAACTGTGAGACCACTCTGCTAGGGAAGGTATGGACTTAGCTCACAGGGGCTAATGGCTCAGCCCTGGGGAGGACTCAGATCGGGAGGTCAGGCCAGTTTCGTAAAACAGCTCACACTGGGGGGCCGGGTACAGATGTTACACACCATCCAACTGCATGTCTAGCGACTTCCTTTCTTTCGCCAGGTAACTCATGTATGTACCATCAAGAGCCTTTAAAAACTTGAGGGGCCCTTGAGACTTCTGGCACTAAACTGTTCTACAAGGAGCAACTACTGTACCCTAAACAACTGTTTGTCTTAAGTTTTCTCTCACTGAGGCTAAAGGATTAAGGTTTGGGTGAGGCAAATTCCTTTCAAACAAGAGAGAAATAACTCGTGTTAGGCTAAAGGAATTAAAATGAATAGATTTTTCTTCTCATGTACTGGATATATCTGAAAATCTGACTATAGTTTTTTAAAATCTGAGGATCTACGTGCTGTTCAGAAGAATCACATGGTACACAAATTCTCAAATTTTGTTGGGCATTAGCATCTCTGGCTGGGCCCTACCTCAAGCCTACAGAGTTAAAAATCTTCAGGATTGGAGCTCAGATACCTGTATTTTAATAAGCTCCCTAGATGGGTTTGATGCTTCCAAAGTTTGAGAGGCCATAAACCACATGATTCTTGTAAATGGCACCTAGACAGATGATCAGATTTAAAACACACACAGAGGGACTTCCCTGGTGGTGCAGTGGTTAAGAATTCGCCTGCCAGCAGAGGGGACATGGGTTCGAGCCCTGGTCTGGGAAGATCCCACATGCTGCAGAGCAACTAAGCCTGTGTGCCACAACTAGTGAGCCTGCGCTCTACAGCCCACGAGCCACAACTACTGAGCCCATGTGCCACAGGTACTGAAGCCCACGCGCCTAGAGCCCGTGCTCTGCAACAAGAGAGGCCACCACAGTGAGAAGCCCGCGCACTGCAACGAAGAGTAGCCCCTGCTCGCCGCAACTAGAGAAAGTCCACGTGCAGCAACAAACACCCAACACGCACACAGATATATTACTTTATACTCGTGTTTTTCAGATATATGCAGAATAAACCAACATGTACAATTTGTTAATGAAAAATCCTGTATTTCTGCTCGTATCTTATTATCATCCATTCCTATTGCTGCAATTTTATAACACTTTCACTTTCGTTCAAGTGTTAAATCGTGTATATTTATCCTTATCTTTACAGTGAAAGGACGTTAGAGGAGAGTGTAAAAGTTGAAAGGGACCCGAGGTTATTTAGGCCTGTGTTTTTTAAAGGGTTGTTTGTGGTCCACCTGCATCAAAGTTACAGGAAGTCACAGGTTAGAAATACAGATTCCTGGGCTCTACCCAAGACCTGCTGGATCTTTAGGCTTGGGGCCTAGGAATCTGTATTTCAGTAAGCAATCCTGAGAACCACAGACGTAGTCCAGCTCCTCCTTTTACAGATGAGAATGCTGAGGCCCAGAAACGTGTGACTCATCCATTACCTTACCAACAGTGGCAGAGGTAGAAATCAGACACAGGCCCTCAGCCCCCATGCCCAGTCTTGTTGTTCGCAGTCACAGAGCGGAGGGCTGGATTACGTCTCGGTTTCTCTCCCCGACCCCTCAGCCACTCACTTGTTTAGTTTTCAGAAATTTTCTAATTTGAGACAGCTGAGAAAATCCTGCGCTAGTGATAGGATTGCTGCCTTATTTGAGGACAGTCCTGCACAGATGTGACAAACGATCCATTAGCTTGTAAGGTGGTAATTAAAATGTCTTTTAAGCACATTGGTCATAAGTTTTATTATAAAATATCGTAAATAAACCAAAAATAGTGCTATAAGAAACACCCATGTACTTGTTGCTCAGAATTAACAGATGTTTGCATTTTGTCATATTTGCTTCCTTTCTTTGTTTTCAGAGAAATAAGGCATTATAGATAACAGTTGAAGCCTCTTCCCTCCCAGTACTTCCTACCCCGTTCCTCTCCCTTCCCCTTGGACAGGAGACCACTGTCCTGAAACTCATGTGTACCCTTCCCATTCTTATTTTTCTATTTTCTACTACATGCATGTGTATACAACTTTTAATAACACAGTTTTGATTAAAGTATTTTATAATTTATACCTGTGGTATCACATTGTATATATCAATTGGCAAGATACTTTTTCTCAGCATTATTTTTTAGTGCCATTCCTCTTAACATCCAAGATCAGGTTAATTTTTTTAAAATTTATTTTACTTAAGTATAGTTGATTTACAATGTTGTTACTTTCTACTGTACAGCAAACCAATTCAGATATATATATATCTGAATATATATATATATTCTTTTTCCCATTCCTTTCCATTATGGTTCATCACAGGATACTGAATATAATTCCCTGTGCTCTACAGTAGGACCTTGTTATTTATCCATCCTATAGATAATAGTTCGCATCTGCTAATCCCAAACTCTCAATCCATCCCCTCTTCCCCACCCTGCCAGCCCTGGCAACCACAAGTCTGTTTGTTCTGTGTCTGTGATTCTGTTTCCGTTCTGTAGATGAGTTCATTTGTGTCGTATTTTAGATTCCACATATAAGTGATATCGTATCATATGATATTTGTCTTTCTCTTTCTGACTTACTTAGTATGATAATCTCTAGTTCCACCCATGTTGCTGCAAATGGCATTTCATTCTTTTTTATGGCTGAGTAATATTCCTGTGTGTGTGTGTGTGTGTGTGTGTGTGTGTGTGTGTGTACACACACACCCCACATCTTTATCCATTCATCTGTTGATGGACATTTAGGTCGTTTCCACGTCTTGGCTGTTGTAAATAGTGCTGCTATGCAGGTTAACTTTTTTAACTGCTGTATTCCATTATGTGAACATACCACAGTTTAACCATTCTCCCATTGGTGGGTATTTAGGCTGGTTCCATTTTTTCACTGTCACAATGCTGCCATAAATACCCTTGTGAGTGTGTAAAATAATGTCTCTGGGGATATATCTACAAGTGGACTTAGCGAGTCAAACAGTGCACACATCTTCAGCCTAACTAGGTATTGCTGAATTGCTCCCCACAGTGAGTATAGCCCTTTATTCTCCCACCAGCAATGTGTGGGCATTCCCATTTCCCTACTTCAGAGTTCCTAACTGTGTTGTTAGGTTACCTTGGGAGAAGGGTTAATGCAATAACGTTACAAGTTCTGGGTCTTAACTTTGCAATAGTCTTTTTCTTCAGCTCTCTTTTCCTTCTTAGAAGGTGATGCTCTCTTAAAAAATCTTCATTCTCGCCCTCGAAGACTTCTTGATCATATAAGTAATCTCCACGAGGAGGATGCCTTACTGGAGGAGGAAAGCAGCCTCTATGATGATATTGTGTTTGTGGATGTTGTTGACACTTACCGAAACGTTCCTGCAAAATTACTGAACTTCTATAAGTGGTAGGTTATAAAAATGTTGGGTAGGTATTGTTTTATTTTTCTTTTGATGTAGAAACAATTTATCAACATCAAATCACTGAGATTTTTTAAAAAACACACAAACCTAAGAGCACTGTGCACCTGGGATGTGATCTGTTGTATCCTGGTTCTTCGTGAGGACTGATCTTCTAAAATGCTGCCGCTTTACTATTTCGATGAGCTGATCCATAATGTGAACACTATTAATGTATCAAAAACAAGGCAAAAGTTGATTCACTTTGAGTCATTCCTACTGGCATAGTTGTCTTGAGCCAACATTAGGTGAAAATCAGTGAGTTTGAAAATGGCCTATCTTCAGGCATTTTCATACCCACCCACCTATATCCCCCATTTACACCCAGGTTCCTGATCTGAATTCCATTCAGCTGAACATCCACATTATATTTCCGTTCTCTCCTCCAACCCATTTAAGAACTATCTGCCCTAATTCCAGAAGCTTTAATAAGACGAAATTCAGCAACCCTTATAGTCTACCATATTAACTTCCCAGACCCTCCAGTACTTCTTGGATCTTGGTTGTAACTCCTACTTTTATTATAATAACACCACCAATAATAATATACTATAACAGTGACTCTTCTTAATTGAATACATGTAGTTGTTAGTATTATTAAGTTACTCTAGGGTCCCATAATTTGCTGTGAGCCCCCTGATACTGTCTACCCTGACTCTAGAACTGAAACCTTCTCTCTCTCTCTGTCTAGACCAAACCCATAAAGTATATTCACGTCTTTGTCTTTTTCTTTTTTAAAATTTTATCAGGGAACTTGTTGCTCGGTGAGCCCCAGAGTCTGTCCCTTCTTTTCTTCTCTGTTTTGCCCTGAGCAGAATGGGAAATCATCAGTCCTTTATGGATATAGTTCCCTGGTCCTGAGGGGTAGACAGTTTAATTTATGGGTGGTAGTTTCATAGCTGGGGCAAGTCAGTGTAATTCTGGAGTCATCTTGTGGGCAGAGGTCAGATATAAATGCGAGCTGGAAATGTGGGTATGCCTAGAATACCAGGATTAAGTTTGACAGCTGTAGTAAGAGAAAGAGCCTTCTTTTAGCTCAAGGTCACCAGTGGGGTTCCTGTTATGGGTCGGCCAAGGCAAGGGCGAGGCTGTAAAGAGGTGGAGTGGGAATGGGGGTCCAGGCAGTGGGAGATCACGACTGCTGAGTTCTAGGGCTTTCTATAGGGAGCTGACTCCCAGTTGTGGAAGTTCAATTTGGTCTAATTAACTACCTCCAGTTTAAGTTTTGTCTCTTCTACTACTTGCGTATCTCTGTGATCTTGGCCTCTCTCCGTAGTCTCTCTGCCACTGTCTGTTCTGGGCCATCATGTGCACCTGGAACACTGCGGTGACCTTCTGACAGGCTGTACGTCCGGACCCGCTTCCTAGTAGCCCATCCCCCCATCTACCCTCCACATCGTAAATGATATCTTTATTTTTCATTCATCTTTATTCAGGTGATCCATCAGTGACCTCAGTGTCCTTTATCACCAAAGTTTATTTCTAATTAGCAAATATTATGTATGGCCTATGCTATTAACTAGAAATGAACTTTAGAAACGTAGGGTTATGCTTTTTGTTGTGGACCCATTGTTAAATTCACCATTTTGTGGCCTAATGAAACTTTCTCCAGATTTCTTTAATTCAAATTTCTGTCTTCTGACTGGTTCCCTCGCAAGACTCTGGGTAAAAGAGGTACAGGGATTGGCAGTGTGACATCAAAGAGTCGATTTTGTTTCTGGTTGCCATTATATATTTTTTTAATGTCTAGATAGATGAAATCACCCTCTTGTGCCTTCCAGAAGGTCATTTGTAATAGCTGAATTACTGGCAATCGTTTCCAAGGGAAAATGTACTTCAGTGTTATAACTCAGCTTTTTAAACACTGTAAAATACCTGAGTGTACTATCAGTAGCAGCATGGAACACATTCTGTTGTACGACGGCGTTCTGTGTGAGAGGCCAGGGATGGCATCTATCCCCTCATCTGCGTGGCCCTCATTAAGAATGCCAGGGGCAAGGTTCAGATGCTTAACAGGTATGCTGGCCTGACCTGGGCAAGGCCTGAGAAGCATTTGTTTGATTATATATTCTACTTAAGCCAGATCTTTTTTTCATTGTATTCTTCCTTCTTCCTTTATACCTTTTAAAATTGACGTGGCACCTCTCTGTTACACCCCTTTGTTAATATGAAGTGAGGATTGTAGCTGGCAGCAGCGATGCGCTTAGAGCAGATGCTCCCGATATTGGACGGATAAAAGCTGGCCAAGCATACAGACAGTACAGGGCCAGTTTTCATTAAGATGTTAGCAGTGTCACCACACTGGTGTTGCTCTGTTTCCTCGTATGGATGCCCTGACTTTCATATCCCCCCTTCCGCCAACAGGACTGTGGAAACCACCAGCTTTGACCTGCTGCTAAAGACGGATGATGACTGTTACATAGACTTGGAAGCTGCATTTAACAGAATCGCCCTTAAGAATCTGGATGGGCCTAATTTTTGGTGGGGAAAGTAAGTTAAACATTGTTAGGCCATTGGTGTTCATTTCATGAGCATATGTTAATTTAGAATGAAATATACAAGTCACTTATCATAAGAAAAATGTGGTTGAGATAGGAAATTTCCCTCTTAGGCCCCTGGGTCATTATATTTTATTAATCTACAATTAAAGGGGAAAAAAACTCTTAAATGGAAAACCTCAGGCTAATGTAATGAAGGATGGAAAATGATGTGGCTTTTATCCTCATGCCCTGCATATTAAGTGCTACTCAAATTAGACGCTGCTGTACATTACAATAAATTTGTGACATTTCTGAAACCATTTTCTATGTGTCTTCAGGAATGCAATAGGGATTGGTGATTTATTTTTCATTTATTTTAATATATCTAAACAAGATGATTCAGAAACTCCATAAATACAACTTGGAGAGAATTTAACATATGTCTTTTATATAAAACACCACTAGATAAATAATTCCTGTCCTTAGACAAAAACAATAATCTCTCATTCTTCTTTCCTTGCTTCTACAGCTTATTCCTTTGTAGTGATAATTAAGGACTCAAGCTTAACTAGTGGTAGGATACGGGTCAGAGCAACACAAAGAAGCCGACTCATGTTGCATGTCAGTTTCAGATTGAATTGGGCCGTTGACCGAACCGGGAAGTGGCAGGAACTGGAGTACCCCAGTCCCGCTTATCCCGCCTTTGCGTGCGGCTCAGGGTATGTCATCTCCAGGGACATCGTCCACTGGCTGGCTGGCAACTCGGGGAGATTAAAGACCTACCAGGTAATTAAGGATTTCTCACCTAAGAGTACACTGACCAAACAAGTTTTATCCCACTCAGTATTCCGTCATTAAAAGCACAGCCACCTGATCTTGGGGAAAGGCATGTTATTCATTCTAGATAGGAGTCAGCCCTCAAAGGTTAGGGGTACACTCCTATCCCTCAAATCTAAATTTTATTCCCAAATCTTTGAGCCTTCTGTTATGTTTTCAGCCTATATTTAAAGGTATAGTCCCTAAAGGAATGTAGAGGTTTATATTCATAAGAAGGAAGACTAAGCAAGCTTAAGACTAAGCTTGTTTTTCTGCTGATTCTGAGATGGCAAATCAATGAATCTCGGCCCGGTTCTAAATCCAGTGTATCTTTCATATCGTCAGTGCTGGAAGTTTAAGGTCCACGAGAAGAGGGGCTGGCTGCTTACATAGTGTGTGTATAGTCATACTTCATTGTGGTGTGTGTGCTTCATGTTAATGGCAGGTAGCTTTTACTTCGTGTATCAGTGTTATAATACATCCTCAGCATTGCATGTTAGAATAATCACAAAACAAAGAAGTAGAAAGATTACTTACGGGAATGGGTGTGGCATTGTCTTTACAGACGAAATAGCATTTAAATTTTTACATTTTAAACTTTATGGGACCTGTGTAGGGTGAAGATGTAAGCATGGGCATTTGGATGGCAGCCATAGGACCTAAAAGATACCAGGTAAGCAAGCCTGAGCGGGGCTGGCCTCTCTGTCAAACCTTGGGCAAAACAGTGAACGGAGGTCTTCTGGCATCATAACTGTGCTCTTGATCTAGTTCACAGTAATGTGCCTAGAGCTCACACAATATTTGTCTGAGTCTAAACCAAAAGGAAATGTTTTGAATGGAAGTTCTCCTACTCACAATGAATTGAGTTTTTATACGTTTGATCAGAAATTCTTTGCAGCTTTAAAACACAAAAGAATCAGCTGACTTCAGATTCTGGCAGTGAGGTGGCCCCGCAGAATGTGACTCCAGCTGCACCCACCTAAGTGTGGGCTATGGTGCCAGGTGCTCAGGGGAGACTCTCCGTCCCACCCGTCCAGGGCCAGGGCAGAGACAGACAGGCCTTCTGTGTTTCCTTTAATACCCCTGGAGGCTCTCGGCCCCCAGGGGCACAGGGCTCTGTAGGAAGGAGTGGTCAGTCTCCTGTCCCCAGGCGTGGCCTGTACAAGGCACACGCTGACTCCAGGCCCTTCTACTCTCCAGTTTCCTCTCCTTCGCCACCAGTTCAGCCATCCTTTAAAAAGACATTTTTTATTATATCCCTCCTTTTTATGTTCTCAAGTTGAATGGGATCTGTATTCTGCTATATTGGTGGAAACAGAAGCCAGTCCACAGAGCTGGGAAGTAGGCTGGTGGGTGAAAACTCGGACTCTGAGTCTGACAAGACTCCATTTCGATCCTTCCTACTCAGCCTACCAGCATGAACTTCACCGTGGCCTTGAGCAAGTTTCTTCACTCTTAGTTTGTTTCTCATTTGTAAAAAGGAAATAATTCCTACCTCACAGGGTTATTGTGAGAAGTAAATTGGATAATATTTATAAAGCACTTGGTATTGTCCCCCGAATATTGTAACCATTCCCTCAGTGCTTGCTGTTGTTCATAATGCTATTTGGCCACCTCTTCTCCAGTAGCAAATACGAAACTCTGCATTTGTGGTTTCCACACCCTCTCTTCATAGAACTCCCTTCGCAAACTCTTAATGCACACACTGCACTGTTTCTTTATTCCACAGCCTCAGGGTCACCGGTGGGTGCTTTTCCTATGCCCCACAAGCTGAGCGGCTTCACACATGCACTTGTCTTTGAAATAACTTCCGCCTCACTGGGATCTGGAAGCTCCTGTATGCACGCTGTCTGTCTTCCAGCAAGGTATGTCACGGCTCCCAAATCAGCTTTTGTTTTGTTTTTCAACAGGACAGCCTGTGGCTGTGTGAGAAGACCTGTGAAACAGGAATGCTGTCTTCCCCTCAGTATTCTCCGCAAGAACTAACACAGCTGTGGAAACTGAAGGAGTTGTGCGGTGATCCTTGTCGGTGTGAAGCAAGAGGAGGATGAGGTCAATTCGCAGTGTTAAGGTCAGGGTGGGCGAAGGATGATCTGAGCGGAAGTCTGAGGAAAGCCCAAGGTTCGGCCGCAGATTATATGGTCTTTCAGGATAGTTCTTGGCTGGCACCTTCACGGGTCACCAATGTGGTATTTCTTAACATTTGCACAAAATTTCCATTTTAAAAATCAACAGATACTGTAGTGTAAGAAAAAAATTACTTATATATTGGAAGATGATTTGAAAAATACCAAATTGTTTATAAAAGAAAAAAGTATTTCCAAGTCCTAGTGCATCATTTCTGTTAGTAATTTATTACCTATCATTTTTGGTTAAAACTTGGCCTAGTTCAGAAATCTTGAGTAGTAACTGGAAGTTTGAATTTCAACCTGGATTGCAGAATAGCTCTGGATAGCATAAGCAGGATAATTAAGGGCCAAAAAGAACTCACAGAAATGCTGTGTGATCACGTATGAGCAGTGGTCACTGATACCAAAGTCAGGGGTTTCTGGAAATCATGTCAGATTTTGTGGATCTCTGAATGAAGTGGGCAGCTTGAAAAGGAACCAATGTAACGCTGGGTTTTGGGCCTTGGTTTTAAAGTTCATTTATTAAGTGGACTAATTACACCCAAGTTTCCTTTTGCCCTTTAACATAAATCCTGAAGATCACAGCTTAGTACTCCTATTTTTTTAAAGTGCTAAAATTCTGTGAATATAAGTAAAATCAAACACCTCTCAGGGTTTTAATGCCATAGGGATGGGTAGTTCTAAATCCTTGGCATTGAAAGCATCTTGTTTGTTTTTCTTCCTTTCATTGCCTAATGTTTACCTAATGTAACTGAATTTCAGTCAACGCTAGTAAGCTGCTGTAGAAGAATGTATTCTCAGTTTGGGTATAACTGTAGGGAAAAGCATGTAATTAATTTTTGTAAGTACTCAAAAAACAGTGCAACTGAGAAGAGAAATCATAGCATTTGTACTACATAGAGGACGTGCTTCCTTCAGTTTAAGGGACATTTCCCAAAATGACCAACCAAATCATTTTAGTAACCTTTTAAACCAGTAGTGTCAATAGAGGATTCCATTAAAACTGGTCTTACGAAGACATTAACTGTTCAGATTTTCTTAGACTAGCGAGGTTCTATTTAGTATCTAAATCTTCTCATAATGAAAGAGTCAGGAACTATGAAATGAACTCTGAAAATCGTTACTAGGTGCAAAGCCTTTATTAGGGCTGTATATACAAGCCTGGAAACGGTCTCTTCCCTGTGAAAAATACAGCTGTTTTACACTTAGGGCAACTTGTAAAACCTCATTTGTTCTGGACCGAATTGTCCCAATAAGTCCCTTAATTTCCAATGAACCCCAGTCACGATAAGCAGTCTAACCTCTGAATTTTATTAGTTGGCTGTTACCATCGCACTAATAGACAGTCTCCATTTTCCACAGAATAAAACTGTAATGACTGTTGATCATTTTCTAGTTCAATCTCTCTGCCCGGCATCTAAAATCAGACAAAGGGGTGGGGGTGATTAAGACAAATGTGGCAAAACCTCCCCCCAACAAAGATGTATGGTTTCCATTTAGAATCAGACCATGTTATGTAGAGACATAGCTTAGTAGCAAGTCACAGTGTGGGGAACTCGACTTTGTTTTGCTGGGCAACTTACTTTGGGACTTTCATAGGACAACAGAAGTTCTGACACAGGAACTCTGAGGAGACGTGACAGCAAGCCTTTCACCTTTTGAATTGTCATGGATTCTATCAAGGAAAAGAAAAACCATCAAGTTCTCTCAAAGGACAGTTACCTGTAAAATGAGCTCACGTGACAAGATGACAACTGTAATGACAGCTGTCACTGTCGTTTCATACTATCAATTTACCCAGGTAAACCCAGGGAACCAGATCAGTGTCACCACTTAGGGGGTCGTTTGGGAGGCTGGGGGAAACGGGGCCGATGATTGACCTAAGTGCCCTTTGATGGTGAGTTTTCATACCATTTCAGCGGTGTTTAATAGTTCCTCCTTAACCTGAATAAACCAGAAATCATATTCTCAGCACAGAAGAATAAACGTGAGTGAAATCATTAACTTTTTAAACCTTTGTGCTTACTTACTTACTTACGAGGTACTGAGAGAACGCTGGCATGGGGCTCGGGCGCCATGATCGGACGCGTCTCAGTCTCTCTGGCTTTAGTTTCCTCCTCTGTAAAGTGAGGTGTAGACTAATGATCCACAAGCCCCCTTCCAGCGCTCCCAGTCTGTAATCATTGTGGTTTATGCGTGTAATGTGATACACATACAGGGGACCACCAGGCATGGCAATGTAACTTAATGAGGAAAAGCTTTGGTTTGTTCAGAAAACACTATGAACTTCTCTCCAAAGGTGGGTGTGGTAAATACTGGATGTCTGATTATGAGCAATACGGTTTCTTTGAAGCTTTAGCTGGAGGTACAGCAATAGTGTGGTGTTCCTACAACGATCACATGTATTCAAACAAATATTTTTCTATCAAAAATAATTTTTGTAAAAGCTGTTTTTATGCAACTTGTGATAATAAATGTTATCTTTATTTTAGAATAAAAACTGGCCCTTTTCTTGTTTATGTACTGAATATAGACACTAAGTAGACTACAGTGTCGATTAACATAATTTGCTCTTTTATTTGTGAATATGTGACAGATAGATTTAGGTGGACTGGCTTTCCTTGTGCAGAGGGCGGTTAGTGCTGGCTTAACTCCGACTGCTGAGTTCAGAGAATATAGGACTCAGATTTGGAATTGCTTGAAGCATAATTATGACTGACATATAATTTCTCTAGATTATTCTAATCTCTGCTAGTTCCACCTGAGGATGAATAAAACTCAGACCGTGAACACCGTGGGAGGTCGGGGAGGAGCCATCAGCCCGGGACAGCACTCATTTGCGCTCTCCACAGTGCCTGACCCAGAGGGTTCTGCGCCTTCCCAGGGGAAGCCCAGAAAAGGAAACTTAACACAGCCCTGGCGAGAACATTCTTGAGCACGTTCCCACAAGTTGATTTCACGTAAGAGAAGGAAAAGTGCAAACACGTCCAAAGCTAACTGCTTTTAACAGAAAGTCCTGGCCCTCTCCCACTCGTCTGTCCCCATGCATGCCCTTACTGACAGAAGTCAAGTCAGAAAACAGAATAATGAAGCGGGGACCACTCATTTTAATTCATCATTATGTAACAGTGGCAACATTACACTTCACAGGCATAGAAACTGGATTTCTAGTAAGTAAAAATGGAGCAATACTGGTAATTTGATACTAGATGATGGTTCTGGATCATAAAGGTACTTCTTTGGGCACAACCAAAGCCTTCCATAAGCAATACCATGATCAGCTTGTTTTATTTGATAAAAATGAATTAAAAAATCAATGTGAATTCACTGCACTGACAGGGAAACAGAAGGGTATTTCACTAGAGTCATTTACGGTCATAGACATTTTATTTCTTCTTCAAATCCTCACTGTGCTAAATTTAAGCTGTTTATATTTTAGTATTTAACTGTGAATCAAGTTTAATTTTGATTTTTCTTTTGACTGACAGTTCAAGGTAAGTTACATTGATCTGATTTTGTTGACATAAAAGTCTTTTCCAAATAAAACAAAATCAGTTCCAACAGCATCAAGGTTTAAAGTTCTGAAGTAGTTTTTTTAAAAGAAAACCATTTCAAGTGTGTCCATTAAAACAGCGTCCAAGAGCTGTCTCTGCAGGGGCTCCTGACTGGTAAGGAATAGAAAGCACCCAAGCCCAGTGCCAGAACATCTCTGGCCAAGGAAAGCCCCCGGAGCAGCAGTGTGAGAACTAACCAGCAGAGGGCCTGGGGGAGGCCCCGAAGGGCGAGCACTCCCATGCTACTGCCTCTGGCTGAAGAGGTAATCTCTAGATGAGCTGAAAGTTATGCGAGACTTGAACTTTCAGGGGGGAGTGATGTTATTAGCATGGTGTTAGCATTTTAGAACGTAAAAGCTAGTGAAAACCTATAAGCTGTGAGAGCCCACAACTTCAGAAATGAATGAAATGTTTCACCTCCAGCCACCTCGAGTTGAAGGGCCAGCGATTCAGAAGCATAAGGAGGAGAGAGAGAGAGACTCATTCTTACCTGGCAGTTGTTTCTCTATGACTTTCTGATCAAGTTGATTAGGATGTTTTATCTTCAGTGCTTGAAAGGAAAAAGGAAAGAGACGAATTGAGCCCTGCTGTAGGAAGGATTTACATCACATGCACATTACCAGCCATGGCCAAAGGATGCAGCTCTTCATACAACTTGGCTCAAATCCCACTAAAGGAATAGGATGCTTACTGATGTTTAAAATTCCTTCTATTAATACTTCACTGAATTACTAACAACAACAAAAAAGAGCTGGACCAACATTCTATTATGGCTTTCCCGTTTCTCCTTAGTACTTCTTTCCTGATGTTTTATCTAGGTTTTCAAGTGTAAGAAAAGCCATGAATTTCCAAATCACAGTTCAGTTCACTACTCGGATACTTCCCACATGTGTGAAACTGTTAAATGAGTTTAAAGAATGGGAATGGCTAACATGTTCAAAGTCAGAATTTAGAAATGTTTGAGAGTCATCATTTCTTTAAAAATTGAACTACTCCTCTAGGTACTTACTTAAAAGAAACAATCCCTATAAGGTCATCACTATTTCAGCATCTAAGGACTCAAACACAAATAAGCGGTCTTGGAATGTGGGGTTCTTACTTAGTAGCTGGTTTTTGAGCAAAAATGGTTGTTGCACTTTGAGTTCCCCATCTTCAGGTGCGCCATATTCTGTTTAAGGAGAAATGAAAAAGGATGAATGATAAACCAAAAGGCCACTGTAAGGGAAAAAAAAATGTACAGGTTAAGTGTCAGCCTAGCCTTTTCCTTTCCCAGGATGAACCCAGCAGCAGCTGGATGCGAACCTGGGATCTGCTTCCTTTTATTTGGTTACTGGTTTAGTGTATTTTTTGGAGGGATGGACAGACAGCAACGGCTGCCAAGCCTGGAACCCTCCAGTCTTCTGTGTATCCCATCACTGATCCCTAGAGACAAGAAGAGGCTGTGCCCGCAAATACTTAGAACGCTGATGCGAGTTTCACCTTTGGTCATAGTTCCCTTTCTTTCTGGGACCTGAGAGAAACTCGACTCACAAACACCTTCACCAGGTTTCAGCCAGGTCGTGCAGTGCTGCTCTGGGCACCCAGAACCACCGCTGCAAACCAGGTCCCCTGCCAGGAAATGCAGCCTCTACGTAAGATGTAAGGAAAGCAGCCCCCTTCTCCTCCTCTCACTTCTGCCAGGGCCACCAGGGATGAAATGTCTATAAATACCCTCCACGCTCTGCTTTGTATTCTACATTCTTAGTGGGGAGATAGTGAGCCATACCTGCAGGGCTGCTTTAGAGCCTTCCCTGCCCTGCCCCCGAGTGATTTAGAATTCACCTCAAGTGGCCAGGAAATCGGGCCAACTAATGAAGTCATTTGACAGCAGTTCCCACGGGCACCTCTTCCTTAAAGATAATGTTCCAGCCTGAAGTGTTTATGCAGTGAGCTTCTCACATTATTAAATATATAAAAAAGAAAACTGCATAAGAGGGAAATTTGGAATAATAACGAAATCGAAACGGAAAGTACATCAGGGACAAAGAGTCCTGAAGTCGGAGCTTCGGTGTCCAAGGAGCCAGGCTGGAGGTCAGGAAGCGCCTTGCACACCAAGCGCCAGGGCTGGTGAGCCCTCCGAACAGAGCACTCAGGAAAGCTACACTCAGCTCTCAGGAACATTAAAATTACCTGGGGAGAGAGCTTAAAAAATACCAACGCCTAGGTTCCACATTAAATGTTCTTCATTTTAAAAATTCCCTAGGGTATAGCCAGGGTTGAGATAACCTGGAGGCCTTCCTGCCCTTCCTAAAGTAGGAAGTGGGACCCACCTCCTGGAATCAAAAGTTCATTGAGTAAATGCTAAGATGAGAAGAACTTCTGTTTAAGAGCTGCCTTCCCCTCCTCCTCCTGCTAAGAGATGCTGCAGATTTATCTCCTCTAAAGACAACTCTTTAATTGATTATCTGCTCCCAGCTAGCTGCTGGAGCCCCTACTGCCCATTAGATGAGTGCAGCAAAGACCCAGTGGAGCAGAGCAACAACACTGGGGACCTCCTCTGACACCCAGAGGGAACTGTGTCCTAGTGGACAGTCCCCCCCGCAGCCCCGTGAGGGCCCTGGTGCCCAGGACGTACTGAGGCAGAGTGACTGGTATCTGGGATGGGCTGCAAGAAATTCCTCGTTTGGTCTGTTTTTGTCTGGATCTTGATGTCCACCAGCCTTTTTCCATTCATTTCCGAATGCTTTTCGGTAATCAAGCTCAGCCCCACGCCTTTCCTCTCGTTGAATCTATATGGATGTGAAATAAAAGCAGGTCTGTTAAAGCACTTTTCTAACGAGTGTGTCTGACACTCTCTCCTTTCTCCACCCCCTACCCGTAGAGAATAATTAAACTGAAAGGGACAAGACAATATATTTCTACCTTTCCTTTTTAATGTTAACAGGATCCAGGAGTTTCTTCAAAAAGAAAACTGGATTTCAGTTTTATCCTTTTCTTCATGGAAGTATCTGGACTATGCCTGGGGCCCAAGGTCACAACATGAGGTCCTCAGCCTGGAGGAGCTGACTTACTGAGAGAGTACCCAGTATTCCTCCCCTGCCTCAAATGACAAAAACTGGGCCTGCCAGGGCAGCTGAGCAGCGGTTTTCCCTGCAGGCATCTGAGTGTAACACCACCTCCCGAGGAGCTGGAAAAAACTGCCATTGAGAGGAAATAATACCATTTGGAGGAAACGACATCTGATACCCTTTACGGTCTTCCACTGTAACTTCTCTTTACACTGGACCGTTTGGTTTCTAGTTTAAGAAACACCTTGTCAGGACACCAGTACTCACCGCACACTTGTTCAGGGTCCTCAGCTGACCGATCCTGGCGATGATGAACTGCCGTGTGGTCTGTGCGTCTTTGCTGCTTTCAGTCAGGGGGTTTCTGGTGCAGGACAGCGCATGCAGACTCTGTAACTTATCCAGCTCGTTGATAGATGACCACTGAAACCCGGCAAAAGAAAACATATGAAAATAAACATGTTTCAGGTTAAGTTTTCAGATTATTCGGACTAGCAGCAGAAAAGCCAAGTCCCCAGTTCCACTGGAGGCATGGAATTTCACCATGCAGCGAGCACCCACGAGGAAGGCCACATATTTTACAACTGTGCCTTGTAAACTGACAGACGGGCTGGTTAAGTGTGAATTAATCTCCTTCTTAATATTTTTGGGTTTGTGTGAGGAGTTTCACTCCAAGGAAGCATTTCTCTTTCAATTTAAAATATTCTTTAACAGCAGGAACCTACAAACTGCATCATGAGAATGGAAATAAGTGATAATGTAAATACATACATTCTGAAAAGCTCTCACCTGTGATATGCGATTGTCATTTAGTACAAGGTATTGCAAGGAAGGAAACATTGATGTTTTGCACCCTAGAAGGAGAATTAAGTTACACAGTAGAAGGGAAACAAAGCTAAAGTATGGGGGAGCCGGGGGAGGGGTTACTGAATAATCTCATATACCAATTCCAGCGTCTGGAAAATGTATAGAAGCAAGTCCAATGTCAGAAAGGATTAGTTGTTCTAATCTGAAATGTAAAAATGTTAAGTTTGATTACATAGGACAATATAAAATGCTATGGGCTATATCAACCAGACTAGATTTGTAAATTTTTTCCTACACCCTAGGTTTTGATCCCATGAGAAACGCTTAGAAACCTTAAAGTCCAATTTAGGGCATGCAAAGCGGACTCTCTGTGCTACATTCTGATGCAGTCATCAAACAATTCCTGGGTCTCCTGCTGTGCTAGGTGCTAAATGGGTGTCAGAGAGCAAAGAGACACAGTCTTACTTCCCAAAGTTCAATGAATGAAGACTTTTGATATCAGCACCAGGGCCAAATTATTCATTCTTCAGTGATCTAGTACAGACATAGACTACACTGTATGTGGTTCACAAGTCAATTCTCTAAATGAATTCAAATAAAAATTTCCCAAAGGGAACTACTCAATTTGGGAATTCCATCATCATTATCATATTTCCACTGAGAAAGTATATATAGCATAGGATCCATTCACTAAAAATTTACTAAGAACTATTGTAGTAGGCATTTTAGGAGCGGGTTACCTGGGCATATATGCTATGAGAAACAGCTGGTTTTCATCAATTAATTGATTAGAAGAAAGGTCTAACAACTTGACCGTCTGGAGAACATCAGTCGGCCTGTATGGAAGATAAAATTTTTTCAACATAAATTTCATTTCTTAATTGTTTTCAAAGATACAGCCCTCAAATACCTGCATCTGGTGTTAAGGAGAGGTCGGGGGTGGGAGGCAAGTATATGATATGAGTATGAAAGGGCACCATAAAGGATCCTAGTGGTGATGGGAATGTTCTGTCTCTCGACTGGACCAGTGTCCTGGTTGTGATACTGACCATAGCTTTGAAAGACCCTACCAATGGGGAAGCTGGGTGATGGGAACATGTGATCTCTGGGTACTATTTCTTATAACTGCACGTGAATCTAAAATTACCTCAAAATTAAAAGTTTAATTTTTAAAAAACTACATTTGCCTGTATAATAAAATCATTCTGAACAGTAAATTTTCATTAATTTGAATCCTTTGAGAATTTGCTGTAAATGTGTCCATGTTTAAGTTTGTTTTACATACTAATTCAATGACACCAACACAAGAGGAAGATTAGGCAACAACATATTTAATCTACTTAAGACAACAAGCTTTTTTACACACAGTCATCCCTCAGAATCCATGGGGGATTAGTTCCAGGACCCCCGTGGACACCAAAACCTGAGGATGCTCAAGTCCCTTATATAAAGTGACATAGCATCTGCATATAACCTACACACATCCTCCATATATTTTAAATCATCTGTAGAGTACTTGTAACACCTAATACAATGTAAACAGTTCCAGTGCCCGGCAAATTCAAGCTTTGCTTTTCGGAACTTTCTGGAATTTTTTTTTCCCCAAATATTTTCCATCTGTGGTTGGTTGGATCTGTGGATGCAGAACCTAGGGATATGGAGGGCTGTACTTTGGTACATTGACCTTGAAAAGATAATGCTAATTTAAAATCCATTATTTAATCCTTAGAGCATCTCCTACAGAACCCCCACTTAGAAACAGAAGTTAAATATACATTTATGTAAAACTAATACAATTCATGGCTTCAAAAATACTTAATTCAAGGCTTTCACTCTGATGGGGTTTCCTCAATTAGAACCTCTTAGTGAAGTCTGAGTTGACATTCTTATTTGTGAAGGCAATGAATAATAAGCATTTCTCTAATTCTTATTTGCACATCCTCCTAAAACTTAATGTTAGGTATAATTGAGATCATTTATTTATTCAGAGTGACTAAAGGATACGCAGCTACTTGTCAGAGAGAGAATGATTATACCTCTTTACCCTTGAAGTTTGGAAAAACTATAATACATAAAAATGCTTTTGAACTAATAAAAAAAAAAAAGAATGACTAAATGGTGACCGATGCGTTGATGTAAAACCCTGGTTACCTTTCTGAAATGACGATACCGTTGGACTCAAGGTACAGTTTCTCAAGGACAGGACACCTGGAGGCGCAGTGGAGCACCTGGGGGGAAAGTCAAGGCAGGGTGACGCGGCCTCGCTGGTCATTCTCCCCACGTGCTTATCACTAGAACCTCCACACGGATGCAGTTTAGCTACTGTTGTAGAAATAAGTGCCTTGGGAACTTCCCTGGCAGTCCAGTGGTTAAGACTCCATGCTTACAGTGCCAGGGGCACAGGCTGGATCCCTATTGGGGGAAGTAAGATCCCGCATGCCGCGCAGGGCGGCCAAAAATAAAATAAAACAAGATAAGATTAAAAAGGAAAGAAAAATGCCTTTGGACATTTTGTTACAGACTCTATCTCAGGCCAGGAGTGCCAGTGGACGGCTGATAAAATTACGGTGTTAAAGGGCCGTGCTTTAATGACCCAGGAGCACACAACTTCGGGCACCTGGAACCAACCAGGACCGGTATCAGCCCATCATTCACGCAAATCCTGACCTGTACAAAGTGGAACTGGAGATGGTGACCTAGCACGTTCTCATTATTGGATACAGTTTGTTTAACCAACGGAAGGAAACATGTGAAACACCTTTCCTTACTTCCCAATGCCAATCTGGGTTTATAAAGAATGTACTAATACGACAAACTTTATCAACAACTATTTCTACATTTTCTCACTGGACCTTTACTGCCATCTCCACCTCCAGAGTCTCTCCGTGCCCTTCCTTCCTGTTCTGGAGGGAGCTGCTCTCAAGGAAGGAGCCCTAGGAAGGAAGTCGGGTGGCTGTAGCCACGGACGGCCCAAGTGAAAGGCCCCTTATCTCTTGGGGAGGTGCCCAGGTGGCACTTCACAGATGAACAGCTTTGCTGGGATGTATTTATCTGCACTTGGTTTGAAAGTGGAGTGTTCTGGGTGTGTGAAGTCAGTTAACCTCTGACAGAACTGAGTAGTACCAGATCTAAGTCCCAAAGGCTGCAGGGCCCAGGACCCACGAGTCCACTTTCGAACCCAGCTGTGTACATGAACAGTGGCTTCTAGGAGCCAAACTGCAAACAAGAAAAGGGTGTGAGAACCTTTCTGAGGCTCGGCCTCGGCCCTAAGAACACTCGTGGGGAAAGTCAGGCAGCTAAAAGCTCAATCCAGAGCTAACTCTAAGGCTTCTCAAAGCTCAGCACGTACTTGGTGCAGACCACCAGGAGAGCCACTGCTCAGGAGACACCAGGACTAATCAGAGACACCAAGAGAAACAGGATGGATTCTGAGATACCACATTCTACTAACTGTGAGGATTTTGTAACTCCTTTCTGTAAGGCTGTTGAAAGAACCCTGTTATCTGGATAATAGGAGGATTAAAATGAAGCCACCGTTGAGCTTCAATCCCCCATTAAACCAAGAATTTAAAACTGTTTATTACTGGGTAACAAACCAAAGAAATATGTTTACCTCCGTCCATGTGATTCCTATCCGGTTAAGGACTAAAACCTTCAATGCAGAAAATGTTCCAGTTGGAGGTGGTGAACCGGAGGGAAATTTTAGTTTGTTTTCACTGTGTAGAAGAAGAGACACGATGAGCTTATGGCGATACAGGAGGCCCAACTGGGACAGTCACTGAAAGCAGTACTTTGGGATTTGATATGAGGAGTCTGGTTTGTTTCAACCTTAAAATGCGATTATACTAAACACAAAGTGAGTCAAGACTGTCTAATTTTTAATAGTTACAAGATACAACTTGGTATCTAACAGGCAGAGGTGTGTTTATGGGGTTAGGGCCGCGGTGAGGCTGCAGGTTTCCTGAAACACAAGGCTCAGGCACTGATCTGTGAGGTCGGCTTCTGGCCGCACAAGCTGCGGCTGTGGACGCTGTAAAATTCAGTCGCGCTCTCAAGAGTCTTACTGACGTGCTAGGTTGTGGGCTAGAATTCTGCTTCTAAACAGAGCCGGCTAACAGGATGGATGAAATAAATTACTGCCCTGAAGTTCTCTCTCAAGATCCTAATCTCAGAAGGTACCCCATATCTTTTTTTTTCTCAGAAGGTATCCCATCTTGACAGTCACTGTGAATGAAGATACCATTAAAGCCCTTATTTCCAGAAAAGGTGACGCCATGGGTTGAAGTACACTCTGTGCTCTTATTTGCAAGGATAACTAATTTAGGCCTGTCCAACTGCTCCACTGAACCTGCCTGAGCCAGGAACAACTCACCTGTACGTGTAAAGTTGGCTCAGGTGTGAAAGGGGGTTCCTGGCCGAGCCCTGGGAAAGTTAGGTTCTGAGATTAAAACTAATCAGATACTCAAGAAGGCCTGGAAAATTGTGACATTAGTTAAATACAGAGCTCAGTGAAAATTCCTTATCAGAACGGAATTAAGCAGCATCCCAATGAAATGACTCATTCCTAAAGCAATTAAGTGCTGGAAGGTTAATCACATCTCCTTCTGCCCACTTAAATATCCGAGTCCCCAGATGGGCCATCTTCTACGGTCAGGCCTGTAAGAAGCACAAAGACCTTCCAGCTCAGTGCAGTAGCCACCCTGCCCCGCTGCCCGCGTCAAAAGTAAAACACGTTACCTATTAATGAATCACCTCAGGTGACCATTTGAAAAACTAGAATCATCAAAGAATATTAAGGAATAAGTTAAACTTAGATAAATAAATTCAACTAAGCCGTCCTCCCCAGCTCTTTCCCACAGAGACGCCGACAATTAGGCAACCGCGCGTTCATACCTGAGATTAAGGACTTCCAGGTGCTTGAGCTGATCAGCAATATCTACGACTTCATCCCATGATGACAACAGGTTTTTTGACAAATCTATGCTTCTAACATCTAAATGCACATGTTAAGAAACAGCAATATGGAAAGATTCATAATAGACAGGATGGTAATTACCTCAATTCTGGAACATGGGATTGTTCCCTTTTCACTTTATACCTTCTATTCTGCTTGAAATTTTTTCATGAGCACATATTACTTTCACCCATTTTAATCATCCAGCTGTTCATCCAGAAACTACAAAGTTCATTGTCACACGCTTACAAACTTGAGACAGACACAGACAGTCAAATGACTGAGAAGCAAATGTCGTCAATGCTAAACCATTCTAGCATTATCCAACAAAAAAACCAACAGTGATGGTAACTGTGATCATCGAGCACCTCAGGTGCGCCCAGGGGCCTTGCCCTTGGCACTGAGGACCCCCTGCAGCCTCACATCAAGCAAACGCATCTCCTCCTGGAGGGCACCGCTGAGCTCTGTGCTGCAGGAATCCAAGTAAGGAGAGGCACCTCCGGGGGCCAACCGGGTTAGCTTGGACACATGTTCAAAAGTGCTAAGAAAGGCCTGCAATTCTGAGGGTCTCCTGTGGGTTGGACGGAGTGAGTGTGACACCCACCATCCCTGGTACAGGAATCCAGAGGGGGTAAACCAGTAGAACAGAAAGAGAAAGGCACCTGATGCCAGGGGGGAGTGGTGGCAGTGCCATCAAGAGGCCAACCCCCTGGGCAAGAGACAGAAAGAAGCTTGGAGCAGGACTGGCCCAGCTCAAGGAGAATCTCACACGCTACTCTGATACGTGCAGAAGCTGTGCAGTTCATTCCTCTATTCTGCAAATGATGACTGGGGGCCAGGTGTCTAGCAGTGAACACGCCGATCAGTAAGCACTGCATCTCTGGCGTGCCAGATACAGACACATATCAGAGTACCAGCGCCGGGCCTGCAGCAAAGGGGGTGTGTGAGGAATTTATACACGTTGCTCATGGAAGACCACCTTCTCTAAGGTGATGTGTGAGCAGAGAACTCAAGGAAATGAGGGAATGCCATCCCGGAGAAGAGCACCAGGGCAGAAGGGACAACATAGCAAAGGCCCAGAGGTCGGAACAGGTGTGGCCTACGGACGGCAAGCTCCTGTGTGCCCGGGCAGAGGGGCTGGGGGTCTGGAAGGGAGGTCCCCGAGGCCTCGGGGGCCAGGCCCTATCACAAAGGGCCTTGCGGGACTTTAGTTAGTCTCTGCCTGAAAGGGGAGCTACTGGTGTGAGCGGAGCTAGGCCTTTAAAAGGTCACTCTGCTGCTGTGCTAAGGCAGACTGCAGGGAAATGAAGACGGAGCAGAAAAAGGGGGCGCAGGTTCCTAAGCAATCTGGGCTCAGGCCCGCCTGGGCGCTAGAGGGGATGGGGATGTCAGGTTCGGTGTCCTAGCAGGAAAGCGGAGCTGCTGTGACTTGCCGCTGGATTCAGATGAGAGAGGTGAGAAAAAAGGAAGAGTTAAATTACCTCCAGCGTTTTTGGCCAGTGCCGCTGGAACTTCCCTTTACCAAGACAGGAAAGACTACAGATGAGCAAGTTTCAGGGACTTAATGTCCCAGCGTGTTCGAGATGACCATGAAACACCCTAACAGAGGTATCAGATACATAGCAGACAGACAAGTCTGAGTGGGGACAGGTCTGGGATAGAGGCCGAAGTGCAGGAGCCCGGCATCTGCAGGCTGGACACGTCTCCTCAGGAACAAGTGTGAACAGAGAGGCCAAGGGTCAGGGGTCTGAGCCTGGGGCGCAGCGACCTCTGCAGGAGAGGCTGAGGAGGAGAGCCAAAGCGGGAAAGAGAGCCAGGATCAAAGAACCACCACCGCCTGCATCCTGCGTGGTCCACTGGGTGCCGGAAGCGTTCTCCTTTATCATGGAAGGAAAAGAACGGAGGCGCAGAGCAGTCGGTAACCGTGCGCCTGGTGCAGACCAACAGGTGTGAATTTAAACCCAAATCAGCCTCAATCCAAAGCCCATTTCCTTAAAGCCCACTATGCCACAGGGCGTCTTTATGCATAAAACACGGAGAAAGTAGCTTTTAATAAAAATAGTGGCGTCAATCAACAGGGTTGGTTGAAGAAGAAAGCCTTTTAGGCAGGTACCAGTTAGGAAGCTCCATGAGGTGGCTGGAAGAGGGGAAGGAAGGCAGTGGAAATGCACAGAAGGGGATGAACCCCACCCGGCCGGCAGAGGCACGCCAGACCCTGTGCCGGCTCCCGCTGGCTGAGGGTGAACTGGGGCCAGAGAGCTAAGCACCGTTCTGACGGTTTTAAATGCTTGTGTTTCAGGTGGTCCTGTAAGCATCCACACAGCCTCCTCCAGTTTGCTGGTGGGTCGCAGGCCTAAGCTATTTACTCTTTGGCTCTTTAGGGAACAGCTTGCCGCCTCCCGACCTAAGGAGACTCTAGAAGAACCCGGGGCGCAGCAGGGACTCGGAAATAACGCCCAGAACCCTGGGGGCGGGATTCTTATGCCCTAAAGATGAGACACAGAGCAGCACGACGCATCCAAGCTCTGGGTCTCACTGCAGACAGAGTGAAGCTCAGTGGAGGAAACGGCAAAGAAAAGCTGGGCTTTTTTTTCCTAGTAGAACAACTACCACCTATAGGTGCTGAATCAAGCAGAAGGAGAGTTGCAAGCACGCGCCTGCTAGACACGAGCTGGACAGAGCATCCTTGGCAGCCACCTGGCTGAAAGCTCCCTGAGGGTCTCAAAGCCGCCACAGGAGCAGAGGGGCTTGACCCCGACGTGGGCGTTCCCTCCGGTCCCCGAAGTGCGGCCCCTCGTGCCGCCTGTGTCCCACAGCCGCTCCACCCTAGCCGCGGGCCCTCATGCGATGGCTGAGCCGGGCACGTCTCAGGGCTGGCGGTCCAACTCCAGCCACCCGTCATTTCCACCGCCTCTGCTAACTCTGGGCCATTAGGTTGGTGGGAAAGGGTTCGAGGCCAGTCATTCTCCACTCACTCATGCTTTCCATTGTGTAGCCAGAATTATACATATTTCTGCTAGTCTGTACAGATCACAGGCACCATCTGTATTCTGATATCAACTCCAGACAGGCCAACAGTTGTGAATGTCGTCCCCACACGCGTGTGCACACACACACATGCGCGCACGCACACACACGCACGCAGTCCAGGGAGCTCCTGGTGCTCGTTCCTGTGGGCAGAGGATCTTCCCCACGTTCAGAGCCAGCTGGTGAGGCATCTCTTCCCCATCGGAGCTCGCCAACCTGACACACTCCCACTGCCTTCAGCCCCAGCTGAGCGAATGACCTCAGAGAGGATTCAGCCTAAAAACGGTGACTGGATTAAACACACCAGGCAATCCTTCAACTTCGCGCAAGAATTCAATCAGCAAGTGCAAGGCATTCATCACTGAGTCTGCAGATATCAGCGGTGACTTGGTTATCTCACCAAACCTCATTGCCTCACGTCTTAGGGGACGTTCTTCTCCAGCAGAGAGCGCGGTATAAACAAACGAGACGCTGATTCCCCAGCACACTGCTGACAACTCCAATCAACCAAACAATTCACACGCCCAAACCCCTCTGTGGACCAGATCTTTTCTGTGTTGAAGATGAGCCTAGAACCGCCCAATTCCCAGTCTTCCAAAACCACTTAGGAGGAGGCCAGGCAGAGTCCAGAATGCGCCGGGCACCTCTGTGGCACTTTGCTCCTTACAAGCTCCATTCCACACCCCGAAATGCCCTGACCCGGCTGCCTCACCTGCAGAGGGAATGACCTTTCCTGTCACCACAAAGCAGGTACCACCAGGGTGGTTAGAAACATTTTGCTAAAGAAAGTTACTTTCATCTGCCATCTCTTCAGTCAAGAAGCCTGATTGTAAGCTGCTACCTTCTGCGTAAACTATTATGCACAGACTAGGCAGACTAAGGGATTGGGGGAAGACCTTTTAAAGTTAGAGAAAGTCTATTTCATTCGCTTCGAGAAAGTCTATTTCATTCGCCACTGGGTTTTTGGTTTTTTTTTTAAAGGCCAAAAAAATGCGTTTATTTGGGGTTTGTTTAGACTGCAGCCCAGGAGACACAGATCCAAGCAGCACTTGAATTGTGTTCCACCAGACTACAAAGTGGAGCAAGTTTACTGGGAATTCTTTTAAACTTACCTCCTGTATTTTTAGTTGTGGGAATAAGAGTAATACAGGGCAAAAACACACACTCGTAAGAGAAGGTAGAGATAAGAGATGACAAACTTTGGAAAAGCCCGTTTTGAGGTATTATAACAAAACTGCATCCAGCTGCATGAACAGGAACCTTAATAAAGGAAAGAGTTTATCTTCCTCCCTCACAGGAAGGCAGCTGGGGCTGGCGCAGTGGCCCGGGTACCATCCAGGATGCCGGCCCCTCTCCATCCCTTCCCTCCCAGGTCGCCCTGGATAGCGTTCTTCCCACAGGTTGGCTGCTGAGCCCTGGGCGTTCTGTCTGCGCTCAAGGCAGGGGAGGACAGAGAGAAATGGACAGAAGCAGATCCAACCACGTCTGTCCCCCTTGAAGGAGCCCCAACCAGAAACTCCCATGTTACATCTCCCTGGTTGGGGCGAGTCACACTGCCTCACCTGAAAGCAAAGGGTCTAGAAAGGTAACAATTTACCTGGGCGGTGACAACCCCAGGTGAGACCGAGTTCCTGTTAGGAGAATGGACACTGGGTAGGCAACCAGGGTGTCTCACTCAAGTGTCAAAGCCAGTCAGACCCCAGTGACGACTTCTCATTGGGAAGGATACTAGGACAAGCTTTGGCAATTCCTCCTTTGTCACCAGGACCATTTACTGCGCAGTTCCTCAAAGAAACTTCCTGCAACTTGCTCAGCTGACTGCATGAAAAACACATAGTTCACATGTATGCATAAACACGTACGCTATCCATTGGCCCTTTAAAAAATTGAAAAGCATTTCAGACATATAAAAAGGCACCAGAAATAACAAATTCCAGTAGCCACCACCCAACTTAAGAAATAAAGCATTACTGTAAAAAAAAAAAAAAAAAAAAGAAAAAGAAACAAAGCGTTACAAACATGACACACATAAGTGAAGTCCTCTGCGTCCCTTTCCATCACCCCCTCCCCTCCTCCTCTGTTCCACGTAGGGAACCAGGGCACTGCGTTCGACGCTGACTTAATCTTAAGCATTTCTTAATAGCTTTACTACATATTTCTATGTCCCTAAACAATTACAGCATTTCTGTATATTATGAAATTTGACATAAATGGTAGAGTACTGCGTATATCCTCCTGCAACTGACTTTTTCCCTCAACAGTACGTTATTCAGCAGTGAGATGTAGCTATGTGGACACGTGCTCCAGAGCACACACCTTCACACCTTGTAGTTTGTTACTATACGGAAAGACCACAGGTAATTTATTTCCTCCCCTGGGACAGGTAGATTAGTCCCAACAGTGCTGAAGGACACACCACTGTATAGTTTTTGCGCTCACGTGGGAAAGTCTCTCTAGGGATACAGCCTAGAGATCGTGAGTACGTGTCTTCAGCTTTTCTAGATACTCTCAGAAGCCACTTTTTCAGTGTAGAGAAGCTGTGTTGTTCTATTCATTAAAAGAGCCCATGTGTTACAGTGCCGGAGAGTTAAGAACACAGGGCCTGGAGCCAGACTGCCTGGGTTCCAATCCCGATTCCACCGCTCCTCTGGTCTTGGGTGAGTTAACATCCGTGTGCCTCAGAATCCACATCTACACACCCACATCCACGGCAGCGTTACTCACAACCGTCCTATGTAAGCAAACCAAGTGTCCACTGACCGACGAATAAAGTGTGGTCAATCCTTAAAATGGAATATTGTTCAGCCTTGAAAATGAAAGAAATTCTGACACATGCTGCAACATTTGTGAACCTGGAGGACATTATGCTGAGTGAAATAGGCCAGTCACAAAAGGACAAGCACTGTATGACTGCATTTATATGAGGCACCTAAGTGGGCATCGACTTCACAGAGACGTAAGTAGAACGGTGCTTGCCAGGGGCTGGGTGGGGAGAGATGCGCAGCTGTTACTGAAGGGTTACAGGGTTTCAGTTTGGGAAGATGAAAAGGTTCTGAAGATGGAAGGTGATGACGGTTGCACAACAGTGGGAATGTACCGAACGCCGCTGAACTATACGCTTAAAAATGGTTAACGTGGTAAATTACGCATTATGTATACTTTACAATTTTAAAATGCTATGATAATTTTTAAAAATTAATTTATTTTCGGCTGCGCTGGGTCTTCGTTGCTGCATGCGGTCTTTCTCTTGTGGTGAGAGGGGGCTACTCTTTGCGGTGCGCGGGCTTCTCACAGCGGTGGCTTCTCTTGTTGCGGAGCACGGACTCTAGGCCCGTGGGCTCAGTAATTGTGGCGCGTGGGCTTAGTTGCTCGGCGGCTTGTGGGATCTTCCCGGACCAGGGCTCGAACCCGTGTCCCCTGCACTGGCAGGAGGATGCTTAACCACTGCGCCACCAGGGAAGTCCATGCTATGATAATTTAGTGAGTCAGTATTTGTGAAACTCTCAGAATATTGTGTGACATACAGTAAATCACTTTATAAGCATTTATAAAAATAAACGTAAAACTGAAAACCTTTGGGGGGAATACTAAGACCACCATGCAAGGCATCAGCTATTACAATCACCAGAAACTAGGGGGAAAAGACAGCAGCAATGTTCCAAGGCAGAGGCTCCCAAACTTTCTCAGTTCACAGGGCCCTTCACAGTGTTTCAGTAATTTTCCAAGGTGCCCCTAGGCCAAAAGAAACACCTCACAGTTCCATTTAGTAAGCAGTTAGGGCCAAACAACTTAATAATTATTTATGTCCTACCAAACTAGTGTCTGTCTAGTGGGCACTGCACAACTTCCCGAACCCTGGAATCAGACTGGACCCTCACCACCTCCTTTTCCCGTTCCATGATGATTTTCAGGAGATACTGCCTTTTCTTTCAGCACACGAACGGCCAAAAACCCAGCTCTGCAGGGAAATGACACCATGGAAAGGAACAGTAGGACTATCATGAAACTGAACTAGCTCCAACTAGTAGTTTGCACCGTGTCCGACAGATGTCACTGTTTCCCTCTAAAATTCAAAATATCCTGTTGTGCCCCAGTGAGTTTCCTGCAGGCCCAGGAAACCTTGGTACAAAGCTTAGGGATTCAGGTCTGAATTCAGACACCACTCCAGAGCCACAGCCATCTCCAAGGAGAAACCACACATAATGGTCTTTATTTGGTTTTGATTCCTTTATTATGTCTTTTCTCAGTGCTACAAACTCAAAGCTGGTCAGCTGGAATTAATCAGGAGACAATACAATGGCTGAAAGTAGAGGTTTCCATCCCCAGCAGTGATGCCTACCATTCATGGCAGGATCTCAACCGCTATTCCCAACAGCTCTAACAGCTTAGGTATTACTTTGGAAATGAGGAAACTAGGCTTAGAAGCCAGAATTAACTAACTCTAACTGCTGTCAGGGCTAGAAAGTGGCTTAGCTGACACCTGAACCCAGCCTGACTGGCTCCAACATTGGGTCCTTTCCAGGAAAGACACTGGCTAATTACTGAACACACTGATACTCAGGCAGTAGAGTCATTCACCAGAAAACTTCATGCGTTATGCAGCTGCTCATAAACTAGGGCAGGAAAAATGTGTTCGCATCTGTTGTTAATATTCACAGAGCCCATGGTGCTCTCTGAAAGAGATTAACCAATGGGGGGGGGAAGTGCCTCTTTTGGGTAAATGATACTTAAATCTTTGCATTTTAAATGGAAAAAATAGGGACTTCTCTGGTGGTCCAGTGGGTAAGACTCCGCACTCCCAATGCAGGGGGCCAGGGTTCAATCCCTGGTCAGTGAACTAGATCCCACGTGCATGCTGCAACTAAGAAGTCTGTGTGCCGCAACTGAAGGAGCCCGTATGCTGCAACTAAGACTCGAAGCAGCCAAAATTAATTAATTAATTAAAAAAAAAAATAAATGGAAAAAATAAAGCAAAGAACTCTAACCCTATGAAGCACATAGCTCTATAAATCAACAGCAAAAACCCTTCACGTTAGTAATCTCTCAGTGGTGCATTAGTCACGATTCTTTGTTCAATTTATATATTCTAAATCCTCAACAATGAATATATATTGTTTGTAATTAACTGTCAAGTTATTGCTTTTTCAAAAATCTTGATTTGAGTTTTTTCTTTTCTTTTTTTTTAATGCTGGTCATCTGTGCTAAAAAGCAGAGATATCAAGAAATGAATTTACTGGGAGTTCCTTGATGGTCTAGTGGTTAGGACTTGGCGCCTTCACTGCCATGGCCCGGATTCAATCCCTGGTTGGGAAACTGAGATCCCGCAAGCCGTGCAGTGTGGCCACAATTTCAAAACAAAATTAAAAATTTTTTTAAAAAGAAAGAAATGTATTTACTCTTCAACACTGTCCCCATGTGCACTTAAATTCTGTATCATGTTAAATCTTAATGACAATAATAATAACAAGAGCAACAAAAAGATAGCGAAGAATTTTACTTTGAACAAAACGACAGTTCAATACTTCAGAGACAAAGTAAAAGATCGCAGGCCTATGCCAAGTAGTGGCAAATCTACTCTCCAAAGTGGCCACCAGGGGTCATTACTCGGACGCCTCATCCAGGTCAGGGTCAAACACCACGCACTGACCATCGCTGCTAAACCAGCGTAACCTGGGAGGTTCGTGTGCAGTCGTGTGCGGTTCTGTGTGAATATCAGCTTCCACGCTTTCTGGTTCACGTGGTGCCTCAGAATGAGCAGTGAGCCTGTCTACAGAGCATCACTGCGTTCAGAGAGTTGGAGAGGACAGAGAAAGTTCAAATGCAGCAGTTTCAAAATGCATTATGTAGTGCCCCTCAGACTGCTACACAGTCACTTGTGGGTACTTCTTAAAAGCAAGAGCCCATGCATGGTATTCTGATCTAGTAGGTCTGGGATGGGGCCCAGGATTCTGCAATGTTTCAAAAGGAGTCTAGGTGATGAGGGTGTGCATCCAGAGATGGGAACCACTGGGTTCTAGAAGGTGCCATCATGCTACACGGCACAGGTAACAATGTAGACTTCTGTTTCCATTTTTGACTTATCATCCAGACATCAACCTTAGTTCCTTAATAATTAGTCAATACAGTAGAGTATGGTATAAATATTCATAATGGGCAAATCAGTGTTTCATTTCCAATCTAGGAAAGTCCTGTGCTAAAATAAGGACTTTAATTTCCCTGAATACTCAATCCTTGGATTCCTCTGATCTCAATTTACTGTTTTGCAGAAAAGATAAGACCACTTTGGAAGCACAGTTCCGAGCACTGACATGCAGTCGGCTGACCTTAAATCCTGAACTTTGATGAAACTGTGAAAGTCGGCTCTACCATTATCAGTTCCACTTACCTTTGCTGTTTTACAACAGAGTCAAAACCAATGGTTTCCACAGGTTTATTTCCAATTGTAACAATTTGCTCTTTTCCCTCTTCCTCTGGTTCATCCTCTAAAGTATAGCGGTTCTTAATTGCAGTGAGAAAGTCTACTCCAAAATTTACTTTGTTTGGACGAATGAAGGAACCTCCCGTTGGGTGCCTGGGAAAGGAAAGAAACGGAACAGAGAAAATATCATCTATGGGGACCTTTAAATAAGATCACACACACAAAAATCCTTTATAAACTGTCACTCTGCCACAAATGTAAAACGCCTGCATTTACAAATATATTAGCAAATAAAAGCAATTAAACAATTTTTAAAAAGGAAAGTATCATCTACCATAAGGCAATGTTCTAAAGGTTTTCAAAGTTTTCTGTATGCTGAAAAAGTAGAATCAGCAAAAAAGGGAGAGTAATATACTAAAAAAAAGGGTAATTCATACAATTGATCATAAAGGGTTGTGTGCTGATGCAAGCATGTAAAATCCCAATAGATAGACAGATGGAACAGATGATTCACAAAAGAGGAAAGAGGAGTATTAAATCCATGGGGGAAAAGTCTTACCTTGCTAATAATTAAGAAATGTAAATTGGGACTTCCCTGGTGGTCCAGTGGTAAAGAATCCACTTTCCAATGCAGGGGACGTGGGTTCGATCCCTGCTCAGGGAACTACATGCTGTGGGGCAACTAAGCCCACACGCCACAACTACTGAGCTCTCACACCTCAACAAGACAGCCTGCGTGCGGCAAACTACAGAGCCCACGCACCCTGGAGCCTGTGTGCCACAGCTAGAGAGAAGCCCGCGCACCACAACAAAGACCCAACGCAGCCAAAAAATTAAATAAATAAAATATTAAAAAAAAAGAAATGTAAATTCAAGCAATGAAACTATTGTCAACAAATCTAGCAAAACATAAAGTCCTAACACTCAAAGACTGAAAGGTTGGGTTCTTGATTGTATAATCATACTCCTGGGAATTTGTCAGCAGGCAATAATTTAAGAATAAAAACAAAATTGCTTTTACAAAGATTCTATATAATAGCATTTTTTCGGTAACTGAGAAACTCTGGAAACCATAAAAATGCCAGCTGGACAGGAACTATTAAGTAAACCAGACAGATGCAGTCATTAAAATATTCTGCCTATAATACTTAATAAAATTACTTACAGAATAATGCTGAGATTTCTAAAAATTGAACCAAATTGTACATGACACAACTACAGAGGAATCATATCTATGGCTAGACAAAGATCAAATAAGAACACAAAGAAATGAAAACATCTGTGGATAACAGGGTTATGTACAAAAATCTTTTAAATGATAACTTGAACTAAATGAGAGTTCAAATATGGGACTAAAATAGAGCATGTGGAAAGAATTGTATAGAAATATAGGATATTTTATCACAATTTATATTCAGGTTTTATAACAATTTTTAATAATAATCTCTAGACGAATTTAAAAAAATATTAATCATATTGCTGTATGTAATGACTGCTGTCAAGGCTTTCCAAGAGATTCAAAACAGATCTTTAGACACATTAAATTTCAGCATTCAGCACTGCATCCTGGCAATGATACCTTACTTTCAGGGAAATCTAAGTATGCCTATAAAACAGCTGTAGAGCAGAAGCAATAAGAACTACAATCCTGCAGCCTGTGGAACAAAAACCGCATTCACAGAAAGACAGACAAGATGAAACGGCAGAGGGCTATGTACCAGATGAAGGAACAATAAAACACCAGAAAAACAACTAAATGAAGTGGAGATAGGAAACCTTCCAGAAAAAGAATTCAGAAAAATGATAGCGAAGATGATCCAGGACCTCAGAAACAGAAGGGAGGCAAAGATCGAGAAGATGCAAGAAATGTTTAACAAAGACCTAGAAGAATTAAAGAACAAACAAACAGAGATGAACAATACAATAACTGAAATGAAGAATACACTAGAAGGAATCAATGGCAGAAAAACTGAGGCAGAAGAACGGATAAGTGACCTGGAAGATAGAATAGTGGAATTCACTGCGGCTGAACAGAATGAAGAAAAAAGAATGAAAAGAAATGAAGACAGCCTAAGAGACTTCTGGGACAACATTAAATGCAACAACATTCGCATTATAGGGGTCCCAGAAGGAGAAGAGAGAGAGAAAGGACCTGAGAAAATATTTGAAGAGATTATAGTCGAAAACTTCCCTAACATGGGAAAGGAAATAGCCACCTAAGTCCAGGAAGCGCGGTGAGTCCCACACAGGATAAACCCAAGGAGAAACACGCCGAGACACACAGTAATCAAATTGGCAAAAATTAAAGACAAAGAAAAATTATTTAAAGCAGCAAGGGAAAAATGACAAACAACATACAAGGGAACTCCCATAAGCTTAACAGCAGATTTCTCAGCAGAAACTCAACAAGCCAAAAGGGAGTGGCATGATATACTTAAAGTGATGAAAGGGAAGAACCTACAACCAAGATTACTCTAGCCGGCAAGGATCTCGTTCAGAGTTGATGGAGAAGTCAAAAGCTTTACAGAAAAGCAAAAGCTAAGAGAATTCAGCACCACCAAACCAGCTCTACAACAAATGCTAAAGGAACTTCTCTAAGTGGGAAACACAAGAGAAGAAAAGGACCTACAAAAACAAACCCAAAACAATTAAGAAAAAGATTATGGGAACATACATATTGATAACTACCTTAAACGTGAATGGATTAAATGCTCCAACCAAAAGACACAGGCTTGCTGAATGGATACAAAAACAAAACCCATATATATGCTGTCTACAAGAGACCCACTTCAGACCTAGGGACACATGCAGACTGAAAGTGAGGCGATGGAAAAAGATATTCCATGCAAATGGAAATCAAAAGAAAGCTGGAGTAGTCATACTCGTATCAGATAAAATATACTTTAAAATAAAGAATGTTACAAGAGACAAGGAAGGACACTACATAACGATCAAGGGATCAATCCAAAATGCAGATATAACAATTATAAATATATATGCACCCGCCGCAAGGCACAGGGATATTAGCTCGGTGCTTTGTGACAGCCTGGAGGGGTGGGATAGGGAGAGTGGGAGGGAGGGAGACGCAAGAGGGAAGACATATGGGAACATATGTATATGTACAACTGATTCACTTTGTTATAAAGCAGAAACTAACACACAATTGTAAAGCAATTATACCCCAATAAAGATGTTTAAAAAAAAAAAATAAATAAATATATATGCACCCAACATAGGAGCACCTCAATACATAAGGCAACTGCTAACAGCTATAAAAGAGGAAATCGACAGTAACACAATGATAGTGGGAGACTTTTACACCTCACTCACACCAATGGACAGATCATCCAAAATGAAAATAAAGAAGGAAACAGAAGCTTTAAATGACACAATAGACCAGATAGATTTAATGGATATTTATAGGACATTCCATCCAAAAACAGCAGATTACACTTTCTTCTCAAGTGTGCATGGAACATTCTCCAGGATAGATCACATCTTGGGTCATAAATCAAGCCTCAGTAAATTTAAGAAAATCGAAATCATATCAAGCATCTTTTCGGACCACAACACTATGAGATTAGAAATGAATTACAGGGAAAAAAACGTAAAAAACACAAACACATGGAGGCAATACGCTACTAAATAACCAAGAGATCACAGAAGAAATCAAAGAGGAAATCAAAACATACCTAGAGACAAATGACAATGAAAACACGATGATCCAAAACCTATGGGATTGGGCTTCCCTGGTGGTGCAGTGGTTGAGAGTCCGCCTGCCGATGCAGGGGATGTGGGTTTGTACCCCAGTCCGGGAGGGTCCCACATGCTGCGGAGCGGCTGGGCCCGTGGGCCATGGCTGCTGGGCCTGCGCGTCTGGAGCCTGTGCTCCGCAGCGGGAGAGGCCGCAGTGGTGAGAGGCCTGCGTACCGCAAAAAAAAAAAAAAAAACCTACGGGATGCAGCAAAAGCAGTTCTAAGAGGGAAGTTTGTAGCAATACAAGCCTACGTCAAGAAACAAGAAAAATCTCAAATAAACAATCTAACCTTACACCTAAAAGAACTAGAGAGAGAAGAACAAACAAAACCCAAAGTTAGAAGAAGGAAAGATATCATAAAGATCAGAGCAGAAATAAATGAAATAGAAACTAAGAAAACAATAGCAAAGATCAATAAAACTTAAAGCTGGTTCCTTGAGAAGATAAACAAAATTGATAAACCATTAGCCAGACTCATCAAGAAAAAGAGGGAGAGGACTCAAACCAATAAAATTAGAAATGAAAAAGGAGAAGCTACAACACATACCACAGACATACAAAGCATCCTAAGAGACTACTACAGGCAACTCTATGCCAATAAAATGGACAACCTGGAAGAAATGGACAAATTCCTAGAAAGGTATAAACTTCCAAGCCTGAACCAGGAATAAATAGAAAATATGAATAGACTAATAATAACAAGTAATGAAATTGAAACTGTGATTTAAAATCTTGCAACAAACAAAAGTCTAGGACCAGATGGCTTCACAGGTGAATTCTATCAAACATTCAGAGAAGACCTAATACCCATCCTTCTCAAACTCTTCCAAAAAACTGCAGAGGAAGGAACACTCCCAAACTCATTCTATGAGGCCACCATCACCCTGATACCAAAACCAGACAAAAACCAGACAAAGATACTACAAAAAAAGAAAATTACAGACCAATATCATTGATGAATATAGATGCAAAAATCCTCAACAAAATACTAGCAAACAGAATCCAACAACATATTAAAAGGATCATACACCATGATCAAGTGGGATTTATCCCAGGGATGCAAGGATTCTTCAATATACATAAATCAATCATTGTGATACACCATATTAACAAACTGAAGAATAAAAACCATATGATCATCTCAATAGATGCAGAAAAAGCTTTTGACAAAATTCAACACCCATTTATGATAAAAACTCTCTAGAAGGTGGACAAAGAGGGAACCTACCTCAACATAATAAAGGCCATATATGACAAACCCACAGCAAACATCATTCTCAATGGTGAAAAACTGGAAGCATTTCCTCTAAGATCAGGAACAAGACAAGGATGTCCACTCTCACCACTACTATTCAACATAGTTTTGGAAGTCCTAGCCACGGCAATCAGAGAAGAA